ACTGTGGCCATTTGAGGTATGTATGTAAAGCTGAGGCCAAGTACTTTCTAAATGTGCTTTTTTTAGAAAAAATCGCAAGAATATAGTCCTGTAAACTAGAACTACTTTATTCGTTAATTTTCATCGGTGAAGCAGGGATTTTACCTAAAAACGAGTCCCTATGTTGGCGTAGTGATATTTAAAAATAGAGAGGCAAACTCTATATTAAATATAGTGTCAAATTGAAGGTTATGTATAGTTGAACGCAGAAATATAGTCATTGTATGGGCGAATTCGTTAGAAAATGGTGATATGTACCCCAGAACCTTTTTTCAATATTTTTCAATGATTTACCGTAGTGACACCTTAAGTTACCCCGAACGTGAACTTCAATGCGCGCGCGACAAAATGACAACATAATTGTTTGTTTTCTGTAGGTCTGCTTGTAGTTTCAGGTTTTTAAGCGTAGATTATCATATCGTTACACATTGGTGCAATCTACAGACTCTTATTCAACAAAGCAGGAACTTGAACTTCAATGCGCGCGCAGAAAAATGACGAAGATTTAGTCTACTTTCTACAGGTAAGCGTGAAAGTTATTGGTTTTTACGTGTAGAGGAGCTATTACACGTCGCTCATTACATGACTGATTTTAGCTATGTTCTAGGGTGCCCAAGTAGCCCATATTTGATGCAGATACTCTTGCTTGTTATATTTTAAGAATTTAGGAATAATTTCAATTTGACAGATGAACAAATCTTAGGTCTTCAAACAGGTTCAAATTATAAAGATGTTCTCATTGCCAGAAAAACAATCCAAATTTTCAACTACCACAACTATTTAGGCAATATAAAACGTGAGTTTCATAAACAAAAGATATTAAATTTGTAGAAATGTATGTTATATCGTATGATTGATGTTAATGTATAATTGTAAGTTAATTTTAAAGGAAAATAAATGTTTTTAAAAATATATATATATTTTAAGAATACATTTTAATGGGTAAATGACAACTTCCAATGTGATTTGTTCTATCTTGTATAATATAGGCAGGGCTAGTTTAATACCCGGGGCTTAGTACAGTATGTATACTAAACGAAGTTAAATGAAATGACTGTTGTATTATCTGATTGATCATATTTGATTGTGTTATTTCGTGATACTATACTTGTGTTTATTTCGTGACATACTGTATGCACGAGCGCCATCTTTACTTATATAGTCAGCCATCTTGATGTACATGTGTAAAAAGACATAAAAATCAACATAAAACATTGTTATTGTCGTCATATTATAACAGAACATGGTGTCAGATGTTTCGGGAGTTCGTAGATTTTTGGGGATAATCAATCAACTCGGGAAATTTTCACCAAATCTGGCTGAAAAATCTCAACCAATTCGCGAACTTCTTAAAAAAGACCGTGCGTTTTTGTGGGACATTGCACAGCAAAATGCTTTTGAAAGTATAAAAGCTGAAATCAGTAAACTACCGGTTTTGAAAATTTATGATTATAATCATGAAACCAGAGTTTCGGCTGATGCTTCAAAATTTGGGCTGGGAGCTTCACTGGAGCAACGTCCTCCAAAGGGAGAATGGCAGCCGGTAGCTTTCGCATCGTGTTCTATGTCAGAAACTGAAATGAGATATGCACAAATAGAGAAAGAGGCTCTTGCGATTACATGGGCTTGCGAGAAATTCGCGACATTTCTCATTGGTCTCAAGTTTCACATTCATACAGATCACAAACCACTTGTTCCACTTTTAAGTGTCAAAAATCTTGATGAGTTACCTGTTAGAATACAGCGCTTCAGAATAAGGCTTTTCAGATACAGGTATACAATCTCGCATGTACCAGGTAAGAACCTTATTATTCCCGATGCTTTATCGCGAGCACCGCTTAGTGAAGTGGGTGATAATGTTGACCTAGAATCGAGCGCAAATGCTATGATCGATTCAGTGTATAGAAATCTTCCTGCAACAGAAGCAAGATTGGAACAAATCAAACATGAGCAAATGAATGATGTAATATGCCAAGCAATTACTGAATACACAATGAATGGTTGGCCTGAAAGATCAAATATTCCCGGTGTTTTGAAACCATACTTACAACATCGTGCAGAATATAACTTAGTCAATGGCTTACTTATGCGAGGCGAACGTATTATTATCCCGTCTAATTTGAGATTGGAAATGCTAGATCGCATTCACATGGGGCATCAAGGAATTGTTAAATGCCGCGAACGTGCAAAACAATCTATGTGGTGGCCTGGTTTAAGCAAACAAATCGAAGACGTGGTTTTTAAATGTACTGTGTGTGCTGAACATAGGAAAAATCACTCAGAACCACTCATTCCAACTGAATTTCCTCAGTTTCCATGGCAATTACTTGGAACAGACTTGTATACACTCAAAGGGGTTACATATCTTCTGGTGGTAGACTATTTCTCCAGATATGTTGAGGTAGCAAAATTGAATGGTCTTTCCTCCAGTCAAATCATAACTCATTTGAAGTCTATATTTAGCAGACACGGTATTCCGCAGAGGGTAAGGTCGGATAATGGACCGCAATTTTCATCGCGAGAATACAAGAAATTCGCTAAAGAGTACAATTTTGAGATTACAACGAGCTCTCCTATGTTCGCTCAGAGTAATGGCGAAATTGAAAGGACGGTGCAAACAGTCAAAAATCTAATTAAGAAATCGCGAGATCCTTATGTATCTCTTTTGGCTTATAGGAGCACCCCTCTTGCAAATGGGTATAGTCCCTCCGAGCTCTTATTTGGAAGGAAGATTCGTAATCATATTCCTCAAGTCCCAAGTCTCTTGAAACCAAATTGGCCATTTTTACAAAATGTAAGGGAGAGGGAAGTGAAATACAGGAATCAAAGCAAATTGAACTTTGATAGACATCACAGGGCTTCAAGCCTAGAAAAGCTAACACAGGGTCACAATGTCTTTGTTAGTGATATGAAACAACATGGTACTGTAATTGAGAAGTTACCATTTCCAAGGTCGTACAGAGTAGAAACACCTTCAGGTAAATCCTTTAGAAGGAATAGGTCATCTTTGGTTAAGTGTACACCACCATTATTTCATAGGTATGAAGATCAAGATGATCTAAATGTACATACAGACTCAAAAGAGTCACAGTCATCTATGGTAGTTGATAATGCTAGATCACCAATTAGTGGTTCTAGCCAGGTTGAGATTCCAGTTGAAAATAACCCAAGTGTTGACAGTGAACCTATATTGAGAAGGTCTCACAGATTGAGGAAACCTGTTAAAAGACTTATTGATGAGCTATAGTGACATTATTTACACTATGTATGATTTAGAGAGAGTTAGAGACTGTATTACCAACTCTTATGAACATTTAAATTCTTACATAGTTTTAAGTCTTATGGACATTATAAGTTTATGTGTAACATACGAAGTAATAACACAATCAAAGGCTTCCAAAGGGAGATGTTGTATTATCTGATTGATCATATTTGATTGTGTTATTTCGTGATACTATACTTGTGTTTATTTCGTGACATACTGTATGCACGAGCGCCATCTTTACTTATATAGTCAGCCATCTTGATGTACATGTGTAAAATATTTCAAAGTATAATATAGACATAAAAATCAACATAAAACATTGTTATTGTCGTCATATTATAACAGAACAATGACGACCGGTGCTTACTATTGCTTTATCACATTTTGTTTGCGAACGAGGCAATTGAGAGTTTAAGCTAGCGATATTTTTCACAACGTAAGCGTGAACGCAAAGCCGATGAATTAATAACAGTAATGTATATAGCGCGCATACAAAACGAGACTTAGTCTACTTTATATACCCGATCAATTTCAGATCTTTGTTTAGAACGGGAGATTTGCAATTTCACGTTGGTGGAAACGGGAATCATTGTACTCGTGTCTTTTGAATACTATGCTGGGAATTTTAATTTCGATGCATAGTATAATTGCTTTCTGAAGAAAATGATGTATGTCATGACATGTTTTAGCTTCATATATCTTACGAAACGAGCATGTTTAAAATTTGTATCATAGAAAACCAGCTGTATAACTGTCAATGGCATAGTACGGTTTGTTTCGGTAACAAAATGTCTGAACATCGAAGGTACGATTTTTTCTTTTTTCCTTATTTCACATGTTGTAGGCAGAATTCCCACGACATTTTTAACACAAACGTGTATCAGTATCATATGTTTTAGAAAATGTACATATTTACGAACAATTAGTCCAGAAGACGACAGAATCGTCGATTTAATTCCTCACTTAAGTTACAGAAACGGTTTTTCGAAAAAAACAGTTAAGATCTGCACTTTTAACCCATAATCGACGATTCTGTTGTCTTCGGAGCTATTTTTTCGGAAACATGTAAATTTTCTAAAACATATGATACTGATATACGTTTGTGAGAAAAAACGTCGTGGAGATTCTGCCTACAACACGTGAAATAAGGAAAAAAGAAAAATCGTACCTTCGACGTTCCGACATTTTGTATCCAGCGTAATCGAGCGGATCACCAGTGTACATGTATGTGATAAAACTACATGCACTTGTAGAGGGCGATTTATACGTACAGGTTTCGCGTCCGATTTTATGTGCATTGCTTAAAGTCTCAATTTTCTTGGTATTAAGTCCGACCATGATTTGGGCAAAAAACGCTGTTAAACCATGACGGTTACGCCACCTCTGAAAACGAGGTTGGACTGCTACGTACACTGATTTATCCAATTAAATGGCTACGATGGAACAGAAAGCTAAGGTTGGTGCATTATTTATTTTCTACTGAACAAACTACTGCAGTCGGCCGGGCGCCAGTCGGTGAACGGTGCAAATGTGACCTAGGCATAAACGAATTAAAAACTAGTATATTAGTGTTTTACGAACATTTGGGTTAATATTTTCGTAAAGCGTGATGTCCAGATGTGTTGTGGACAATCTGGATAACGACACTATCATGATGGCACTTTCTAAACCTTCACGATTATACATGCACGTATATTTTTAAAATAACAATTCTCTATGTTTTATCAAAAATATATTATTCATCAACATGTTATAATAGTATAATGGTTTATCTTTTCACTGTCCAATTTGAGATTTTGCAATTGTCAACATGCCTATGGTGCTACTCTGCTTGTCATTAGGTCGTTAGTTGTTAGACAAGTCTTGATATCTGCAAGAATAATACAAATCAACGTAGTAAAGCTTTCTCCAAAGTACAAATAAAGTAAGCAATGTTTAATGTATATATCATTTTTTTTTTTTTTTTTTTTTAAGATTTCATATTAAGTACGTTATTTAAAGTGCCATCACTATCCCCAAGAACGTCAAGAACGCTTAGATATAAATACTATTTTTGTTGTAACATATACTACGTTGCTACACAAAAAAACAAACCCCTACATGCAATAATTAAATTTTAATAACTAATTTTCGCAATACAAGTTCTCAAAACATACAAAGCAATTTTTAGTTAAAAGCCCACTTTGCGTATTTTCAACGTTTTTGGGCAAAACAACGACTTGCATTTGGATTTCATAGTATGTCCAATGTATTGATATTAAGAACCTTATCTTTCATTTGAAACCAACAACAGCTCAAACGGACCACATAAAAGCTTACAATAAATTATCAAAAAATATTTTCAAATTGTTAAGCTTTATATATCAATCTTTATATTTTTATCAATGTCATTGTATATATAAGCGCTAGTGCCAAATGGAAAGTACCAAAAGTTGTAAGATGACAAAAGTTGAAAGATGACAAAGTTGTTTGTATTACAGAATACATTCATTTTTATAGAAGTGTCGCCCATCTTTTAAATCAACATTAATTTAAAACATGCACTTTTTTACATGTGCATGCATGTCTAATGATCTCTGAACTTCAAATGCTTTTTTCTATGCGAGTTATTGTTTCTTGATTCAATATTAAAGCAAATCAAACTTTGTGTCATATTTGAGCGAATATGTGAGTAACATGTTTCAATGGTTTTTTCTTCTAAATTGAGTATTGTGGGCCTTTAAATAAGCCATTACACGTCGCACGATACTGGGGACAATTAGCGTAACATTATGGCGTCAAAAAAAACAAAACAAAACAATGAGCAGTATAGGGCGCAAACAGCCTTACAACGTCAAAAACGACAAGCGTCACATTTTTTACAAGTTTAGTCAACCTAAAAATAAAATACTTTATCCTTATCTAATCATTACAAAATTTACAGGGTAGCAAGATCTCGAGGACAATATTTCTAAAATGTTTTTGAATTTTGAAAAACGGTCAAGAAATCCACTTGGGGCGTTAGTAAAAATTGATATGTATGGAATTTGTGGTAAAAAATCGATGCGTCACATTTTTTCAAGTCTCGAAAACCAGCTCTTATTTTGATATTATTTGCAAAATAAACAAACCGGTTATTTTTTTGTAAATTTCGCCATGACAATATTGTGCAGTTAAATTTTCTTTCAAATCAGACCTAAATTAGAAGGTTAAATGAAGGTAAACTTATTGCTCGTCCCATTCGCCTTCAAAACCTTACACAATTTTGAAAATTTTAAAAGCGTTCGTATAAGATAATTTGAAATGTAGCCGTAAAGCAATTGTGACGTCATAAATGCAAATGTTTCATTGAATAAATTGTGAAATTTAAGTGGGATTTTGATCATTATTTGAAAAGTTATCTCAATTTCAACGAGCCTTGTAAGCGTAAAGTGTTACGTCTTACAGCGTATTTGACGATGTCGGAGTATATTTAACTTTAAAAATGTGTTGGATCCCATCAAAATTTTGAAGGAAAAATAATTTCATTGAAATGCAAATAAAAAATACTTCAAAATGATATGTAAAACGCATAGTTGGCTTTTTAAATAAGGCCGAGATTAACGTTCAAAGCTGAGATAAGCCCGCATTTCCCGAATTGTCCCCAGGTCCGTGCACGTCATACATGCATTTTTTAATATTGAATTTTTAACAAATTCGAACTTCCAACAAATTACTTACCATAGTTTGTACACAACGTGCGATAACGGCCGACCTCGTTGAGGTCCTGGACACACTTTCCGAACCAAGAAAGGTCTTTACTCTTTTTGTGCATAATTGAATACGGTCCATCTGCACAAGAAAATGGTCCACCAATGGCTACGAAATCATCGGTTCCTGGATAGCCATCAGGCAAGACGGCAAGGTCTATCTGAAAGTCCAAAAAATCAAAAAGGTTGGATTTGAACCACATACTTTCTGTTTAGATAAAAAAAATTGGTGAATATAGTAGCCCGGACAGAATTGTTCAATGGTCACTTTTTCTTTAATAACTTTTTTAATTTTCAGTATTATCATAGTCTGATCACATATTTGAAAACTAGAGTAAAATTCTGACATACAAAAAAAATATTTAAGGAACGTCTCTTAATTTATTGATATTATAGGCGTCCATAGTATGACTGACGCAAATACATAATTCATCATTTTGCCTCATATTTGTTCAAAAAGGCGGTATATTTTGTGAATTTGAATGTTCAGTTGAAAGTTAATATCTAAAGATTGTCATAGGACTATAGGGCCATGACGCCACCGTTACAATCCTGATGTAATGCAGCAACTGACCAGTCATTAAATACAAGAAGTCAAATCCCTCCAAAGGTATATGAAATCAACCCTATTGAAATGTCCGGGGTTGTGTTCAAGAGGATGTAAAAAGGTGGTGCCTCAATGTGCAGGATGTGATGAGAGTAGGTCCTTAATCTTTTCAAGAGCTCAAAACAGCCATCTCAGAGGCCATTGAAAAGCTGAAGAAAAATTCACATGCATACTAAGAATGGGTTAAGAGGCGTGTGACTGGGAAAGATATTACAAACTGTGGCAGTATGACCCTATAGTTGCACAGGTTCAACGAACTAGGGATGCTAATCCACTACAAGTAACAATGGAATGGCCAAAAAACTTTAAGTGCTGCGACCTTACCAATATACTGTACATACAATGCACAAACCTTTTTAAATGCTGGTATAGATAGATACAAGTCAATTTAAAACAAAAAGTTATAAATGCAGTCATTACCTCATACCAAGGCAGCAGTCTACATGATTTCGTAGGCCTATGACGTTTCTTAATATTAACTTTAATTTCAACTGAACATTCAACCCACAATACATGCCGCCATTTTTGAACAAATATGAGACAAAATGGTGAATTATGCATTTGCCTCACTCATACTATGAACGCCTATAATATCAACAAATTAAGAGATGTTCCTTAAATATTTTTTTTGTATGTCAGATTTTTACTCTAGTTTTCAAATATGTAATCAGATTTTGATAATACTGAAAATTAAAAAAGTTATTAAAGAAAAAGTGACCATTGAACAATTCTGTCCGGGCTACTATATAATCAAGCAGTTTCGATGAAATACATTTTGGGGTAACTTATAATGTTGAAAAGCAATCCAGTTCTTAAAACCTCCGAGCATTATCATTTAAGCATATCATTAATGTGAAATTTATAATTATTTTCAAAATTCTCAAGGGGTTCTCATTTTTAGAACTAGGAGAAAATCTGACTCTTTACAATACAATCTGTACAATGTAGGCCAATTTATCCAGTGATCGATATTGCAGGAAGGGGTCAATTGGCTTACATATAACAATGGGCTAAAATAAAGGATTTCTTCTCACCTCTTTCACCTCAAGCTGTCTAATAAGTTCTTCCCATCCCATAGTAAAGGCAAGATGCCTGATATCCTGGTCTCTCAAGTTGGGAAGCAAATTGGCACGTAGGCACAGCTCGTCCAGGTGGACGTATGAACGGAAACCTTAAATAGAGCACAAAATAGATATTAAGAATTAAAAAGGTATCTTCATTTCAAGTAATTGTATGAGTAGTAGCATAGTGATGTACGCAGATAGCATCATGGCATAGTATAATTTTGAAGTGGAGGTTGTGCAGTTTACAATAATCGACGTTCAGATTTTAAAAATCATTCTGTAACTCACCAACGATCTTGCCAGCGACTACTTCCTCTGGTGTGGTTAGTTTTGTCGTTTCACGTGTATACAGCCTTGCCATTGGGGACTTTAGGATAGGAGCGGAGAAAGCAAGTATGTTCTTGCGGAATGCAGTTGGTGCCCATCCTACGCAGCCATCGAAATAGTCGTTGAATAATCCTACAAAGACGGGAAACAGAATTTGGAAATTATAACATTTAAAAGATTGAAATTAGGCGTAAAAAGACCCAAATTCTTTGCGAATGGCGTTTTGTAATTCCGTTCATCAAATAGATGGCGACGAAGTGTTATCAATCAACGTTTTATGGGACTAATGTTAGTCTAGAGTCCATTTCACTGCTTCAGTTCGTCAGTAGAACGGCAAAAATAAGAAATTGGGAGACCATTGTGCAATAATATATAGAAAAGTATATTCATAATGTACATGAATGACATTTGTATATTTCAGATTTTTTAGTTTTTTGTGCAATAAGCCTGTGCCGTCTTGTAATTTGAAGAATTTCAGCCATGTTAATCTTATTGAAAATAACATGGCAGAGAAACATCCAAATATAGGAGGCCACACACTTTATAAGCCAAACTAGAAGCAATCCAAGATATACAAATGTCATTCATGTACATTTTGAATATACTTTTCCATATATTATTGTACAATGGTCTCCCAATTTCTTATTTTTGCCGTTCTACTGACGAACTGAAGCAGTGAAATGGACTCTAGCTACAAACTAAGCTCGTGTGCCCCCCCCCCCCCCTCTAACTGGCTACACACTGTTGCAGTGGGTGAATTTAGGGGGAATCCACTTTCACATACATTTGACCCATAAGTTAGAACCTTATAATAGTGAAGTGACGAAATGTAGTTTGTATATTGTAGTTTGGCCATACGCATGCCAATACAATGACCAAGCTTTGATAAATTCTGATTTAAATGCGGATATTAATGTTCTGATGCACATCCGCTACTTGTATTTGCATTTTGAAATGATTACTTTCAATGAATAAAACTGGATAAAAAATCTAATTCTAAAAGTTCTATAATTGACGTCGATTATTTTACCTTCTGCAGTTAGATTAATATTGTTGAGGCAGGTCTGAAGGTTATCACCAATAAAGACAGTCTTGCATTTCATGTCGCATCTCAAACATGCCTCGTATATGAGATCGTACAAAAAGCCACGTGCTTGTCCAGACACCTGATCTAGATAGGAGTACGGCTGCCAGCTACCCTCCAAAGCAAACAGCCAGGTCCTGAATATAGACAAACAATTTAACATTACATGGTGACCTTATTGAAGCTGTTCAATTGGATCATTGTATAGAGTCGGGGGAAGCCTGCTGTGCAATGGAATTTAGAGTTTTCACCATTATTCCACTGGAAGTCCTCCTTCAAAGGATTCCATTTATGATTATCTATATTAAGTGAACTACCCTTGGACCAAGGATGGCTGGAAGTATCTAAATACACTTACTTCTCCCTTAACAGCGGTGCAAGGTCTGGTAGCAATGGTGATCTACAGGTCTCTCCAGTCTCTCCCATTGCTCCAACCACAGCCATCATAAACACTATTGCATACATGTTTCCTTCAAATAGAAAAATACGATAGATTTAGATTTATCGCAAATTACAGTCCAAGCATAGTGGACAAGTAGACTAATCCCAATGTTACTTCGTGTTTCTTTGATAGTTAAGTTTTGATGTTTGTTATTTTAGAAAAAATCTAACAAACAAATATCCAAATCATCAAAAAGAAACGAGAAATAACCAGATAACAGGTCGAATTCACTCGACTACTGCATAATATTTCATATATACTTTTAGTCTATCACACACTTTCAAAAGACCGAAGAAAATTAAAGTTACATGGGATAATATATCCATTGAATTCTTACAGCAAATTTGAAAAAGCCAGTCCAAAGTAAGATATTCCGTTTCAGAAATGTTAATGGTCTGGATTCCTAAATGGAGCCCCTTGTTATTCTCGGGAACACGACCCATTCCATGCATGGTCTGTCACTTTTGCAAAGAGTGCATACACATACATGGATTATTAGTTGGAAGTTGATAAATATACGAGATGCATGAAAAGAAAAAAATGTTTTGACATACAATTTTAACTTTTTAAGGTCTCATGGAAGTTAACAGGAAATGACAAAACAAAAAATGACAAAGCCATGCTGGATTTTGAAAATTTTTTGAACCAAGATAACAGAGTTCTGTTTGGACCTCCAGTCAGTTTAACTAGTTCCAAATATCATTTACATGACCAGGAACACAATTGAAATGGTCAGAATGACCATAAACATGATAAAATAACCTTTTTAGCCCTCTGAAAATGTGACTGAAAAATAGCTAAAAGTAGGTGCTCAGGAAAGGTCAATGAACAGAATATTTTGATTTTTTCAGAAAATGTGTCCAATATATTGCTCTAAATGACACAATCTTTGAAATTTTAAAAAATCGTCTGAAACAATAATGGCTGTAGTAAAAAGGAAAATAGATCGATTTTCAATTCAGTTTTTTTCAATTTTTTCTTTTTCTAAGAATGATATCAAATTTTTTTGAATTGTATCATTTAGAGCAATATATTGGGCACATTTTCTGAAAAAGTCAAAATATTCTGTTCAGTGACCTTTCCTGAGCACATACTCTTAGCTTTTTTTAGTCACATTTTCAGAGGGCTGAAAAGGTTATTCTATCATGTTTATGGTCATTCTGACCATTTCAACTGTGTTCCCGGTCATGTAAATGATATGTGGAACTAGTTAAACTGACTGGAGGTCCAAACAGAACTCTGTTATCTTGGTTCAAAAAATTTTCAAAATCCAGCATGGCTTTGTCATTTTTTGTTTTGTCATTTCCTGTTAACTTCCATGAGACCTTAAGGCCAGGGTGCATTAATTTTTCTGCATTATCAATTGAGTCCCATGTTATTTTTCAAACAGGAATCACTCCTTCCCCACATTGTCTACATCTTCCAGATTTGCACACAGAGTGCACTTATGTGCCTAGGAAAGTCTGGTGAGAAGATTTATTTTGTAAGATTTGAATTTTTTTCACTGCATTTTCTTTTTTTATACATTTTATCAAAACAATCTTTACATTATTTTCTAGGTTCATTAGTGCACTTGTTGCGCAAATGTGAGAGATGTAGACATTGTGGGGAAGGAGTGACTGAAATTTGAAAAATAACAATGTATCCATATTGAGGGTTGCAGCAAAATTCCGAACATGCACTCCGACCTTAAGGTACAGCTGGAAAATAACGTCCTGGTAAAAAAACCTGCACATGTTCTTTTCTGGTACACTATAAAGTATGAAGGCATGTGTTCATTTCCTTGTTTTTTTCAGGAAAGTATCATTACATTGTCTTCTTTTAGTATATTTGGTAAGATGTCATTGGGAACTCCAGGAAATTCTGATATTTCACACTTTCTATTTTTCCAAATTTTCTTTCAAAGTTTCAAGACAACACAGGAGCTACCATTGACCTGTTTCCAGCTTACTTAAAGTAGACGATGTAACGATACTTTCCTGAAAACACAAGGGCATATACACGTGCCTTCATACTTAATTTTGTACCATGTGCAGGTATAGCAATTTTTTACCAAAATGTTACTTTCCAGCTGAACCTTAAGGTGTAGTGGTACTTAACACGAAATGACGAAACAGGAAGTGACAATTACCATGCTTGATTTCAAACATTTTTTGAACAGAGATAACAGTTCCATATAAATAACTTTTGCTGCCCTCTGAAAATGTGACCGAAAATAGCTAAAAGTAGGTGGTTAGGAAAGTCACCGAACAGAATCTTTTGAATTTTTCAGAAAATGTGCCCAATAAATTGCTCTAAATGATACAATCTTTGAAATTTTAGAAAAATTTCCGAAACAAAAATGGCTGTCATAAAAAGGAAAATAGATAGCTTTTCAATTCGTTTTTTCATTTTTCTTCTTTTCTATGAATGACATCAAATTTTTCAAAGATTGTATCTTTTAGGGCAATATATTGGGCACATTTTCATGGTCATGTAAATGACATGTGGAACTAATTAAACTAACTGGAGGTCAATACAGAACTCAGTTATCTTGGTTCAAAAAATGTTTGAAATCAAGCATGGCGATTGTCACTTCCGGTTTTGTCATTTCCTGTTCAGGTACAGCTGAAAAATAACATTTTGGTAAAAAATTGCTATACCTGCACTGCACATGTTATTTTCTGGTACAAAATAAAGTATAAAAGGCATTTGTCAATTTCCTTGCTTTTTTTCAGGAAAGTATCATTACATTGTCTTCTTTTAGAATATCTGGTCAGAGTTCAATGGGAACTCCAGGAAATTGATATTTCACACTTTCTATTTTTCCAAATTTTCTTTCAAAGTTTCCAGACAACACAGGAACTACCATTGGCCCGTTTCCAGGTTTACTAAAAGTAGACAGTGTAATGATACTTTCCTGAAAAAAGCAAGGAAATACACACATGCCTTCATACTTAATTTTGTACCAGGAAATAACATGTGCAGGTATAGCAATTTTTTACAGGTTACAGAAATGTTACTTTCCAGCTGAACCTTAAGTACCACTGCACATTAAAAGGAAAAGAATTTTCTAAATTGTCATATATTGTAGAAAAATATGTACCCTCAACTAATAATCTGGGTACAATTATGCATTCTTTTTCCAAAATTGATATGTAGACAATCTATGAATTGAAGTAGGTGTACCTGAAAATAACACGAGAGTCCCAATAGGAAGCAATTAAGGTGCTATGGAAGTTAACAGGAAATGACAAAACAGGAAGTGACAAAATTGTTTGCATTTTTAGACATTTTTTGAACAAAGATAACAGGGTTCTGGTTTGACCTCCAGTCAATTTAAGGTGCTATGGAAGTTAACAGGAAATGACAAAACAGGAAGTGACAATTTTTTTTGCATTTTTAGAAATTTTTTGAACAAAGATAACAGAGTTCTGTTTTGAATTTTCTTGTTTTTTATACACTTTATTGAAACATTCTTCTCACAAGTCTTTTCTAGGCACATAAGTGCACTCTTTGTGCAAAACTGGAAGATATAGAAAATGTTGGGAAGAAGTGATTCTTGTTTGAAAAATAACATGTGACTCAATTGAGGAATGCAGAAAATTTCCCATCATGCACCGGTCAGGGTGCATGATGGGAAATTTTCTGCATTCCTCAATTGAGTCACATGTTATTTTTCAAACAAGAATCACTCCTTCCCTTCATTGTCTATATCTTCCAGTTTTGCACAAAGAGTGCACTTATGTGCCTAGAAAAGACTTGTGAGAAGAATGTTTTGACGAAGTGTATAAAAATCAAGAAAATTCAGTGAAAAAAATCAGAAAATTTTCAGAAATTTTTTTCACTGAATTTTCTCATTTTTTATACATTTTACAAAACAAACCTTCTCACAAGGCTTTTCTAGGCACAAAAGTGCATTCTTTGTGCAAACTTGGAAGATGTAGACAATGTGGGGAAGGAGTTATTCATGTTTGAAAAATAACATGTGACTCAATTGAGGAATGCAGAAAATTTCCCAACATGCACCCTGTCCTTAAGGTTCAGCTGGAAAGTAACATTTTGGTAAAAAATTGCTATACCTGCACGTGTTATTTTCTGGTACAAAATTAGTATGAAGGCATGTGTGTATTTCCTTGCTTTTCACAGGAAAGTATCATTACACGGTCTACTTTTAGTAAACCTGGAAACGGGCCAATGGTAGCTCCTGTGTTGTCTGGAAACTTTGAAAGAAAATTTGGAAAAATAGAAAGTGTGAAATATCGGAATTTCCTGGAGTTCCCATTACACTCCTCAAGATATTATAAAAGAACACAATGTAAGGATACTTTCCTGAAAAAAGCAAGGAAATTGAAACATGCCATTATACTTTATTTTGTACCAGAAAATAACATGTGCAGGTATAGCATTTTTTTACCAAAATGTTATTTTCCAGCTGTACCTTAAGGTCAGGGTGCATGATGGGAAATTTTCTGTATCCCTCAATTGAGTCACATGTTATTTTTCAAACAAGAATCACTCCTTCCCCACATTGTCTATATCTTTCACTTTTGCACAAAGAGTGCACTTATGTGCCTAGAAAAGACTTGTGAGAAGAATTTTTTGATCAAGTGTATAAAAAACAAGAAAATTCAGTGAAAAAATTCAGAAAATTTTCAGAAATGTTTTTCACTGAATTTTCTCGTTTTTTATACATTTTACAAAACAAATCTTCTCACAAGTCTTTTCTAGGCACATAAGTGCACTCTTTGTGCAAACTTGGAAGGTGTAGACAATATGGGGAAGGAGTGATTCTTGTTTGAAAAATAACATGTGACTCAATTGAAGGATGCAGAAAATTTCCCATCATGCACCCTGACCTTAAAATTTCTGAACACGCGGAACTACCCTGATATCGTTTACTTCTCTTCAATGCCCTACAAGCTATTTATTTTGAGGTCAATCCATAAGGCCGTATATTACTAATAAAATAAGGTATAAAAAATTTCAGGTTTCTCATTTGCATTTAATAACCGCCTACGAAATGTGGACTTACCTGTTTTTTCTACAGCAAAGTCAGTACCTGGCCACGTTCGTTTGAAGAGTATTCTGAATGGGACGTATTCACGAGCTCCGAACGATTTTAAATGTTTCTGGCTGGCTCATCTACTCACTCTTATTCATTCATTCGTCAGCCTTCTGGAACATCATACTAGAGTGCAATTTGATTGGTCAGTCTATAAAAACGTCATTTGAGTTTGCGATACGATTGGTCAGAATTCGCACCAGGTGAGTCCGCTTCACTGAGTTCCCTACAATCGAATACTTCTCGTATTGAGATTTGCGTTCAATTTTCATAGCGGTGGGCGTTATAGGAATCGAGAAAAGCTATTTCTGTTCAACAACGCAATAGTTTTGACCACGCAATGTATTACTGGATGTATAGTTATAGAAATGGTTCAAAATTCAATGTTCGTATTACATTTGACATGTTTTAATTATTCAAAATAATGTTTAAAACATCAAAACATGTATTAAATAAAGAAAATCAAAGTATTTTTTGAAAATCACATAAGGAAAACAAATTTCAAAGCCAATGTTTAAGAACAAGGCATTAACATGACAAAATGTCACCACCACCTAGAAAATTTAATTAATTTGAAGCAAGCTAAAAAATACCTTTTTGACCCTTTTCAAACTAAAGACCTTTTACACCATTTTACCACGTCGAATCTCAAATCTAAAGTCAGATTTGAATTTCTGAGAACTAGTAGATGATTTTGAAAAAAATTAAGCCAATTTCAAGCAAGTTGAAAAAAATACCTTTTTGAATTGTTTTGACCTTGAGAAGGTCAATAGGTCATTGATGATCAAATCTCAAATCTATAGTCAGATTTGAACTTCTGAGAACTCGTAGATGACTTTGAAGAAAACATTGAATCAATTTGAAGCAAGTTAAAAAAGACCTTTTGACCTTTTTTGATCCAAATACCTTTTTTAACTTGAGATTAAGAAGGTCATTGAAGTTCAAATCTCAAATCTAAAGTCAGATTTGAATTTCTTAGAAGTTGTAGATGATTTAGAAAAAGTTTGGTCACTTTGAGAAGGTCACTGAAGGTCAAATCACAAATCTATAGTCAGATTTGAACCTCTGAGAATTCGTAGATGATTTTGAAGAAAACATTTAATAAATTTGAAGCAAGTTGAAAAAATACCTTTTGACCTTTTTTAATCTAAAAACCTTTTTGACCTTTTTAACTTGAGAAGGTCATTGAAGATCAAATCTCAAATCCAAAGTCAGATTTGAATTTATGAGAAGATGTAGATGATTTTGAAAAAGTTTGTCAAACAAAGTTGAAAAGTTGAAAAATACCTTTTTTACCTTGAGAAGGTCATTGACCGTCAAATCTAAAATCTATAGTCAGATTTGAACTTCTGAGAACTCGTAGATGATTTTAGAAAAGGCAAGGTCATTGAAGGTCAAATCTTAAATCAGCTTTGAACTTCTGAAAACTTCTAGATGATTTTGAAAGAAATGAAGTCAGTCTAAACAGTATTTGTTAAGTATTGGAAGTTGTAAGAATTTGTTAAAGATGCCACCCGCCAATCATAAACCTTTTTTTGACCTTGAAAAGGTCATTGAAGGTAAAAATCTTAAGTCAGATTTGAACTTGTGAAAACTTGTAGATGATTTTGAATAAAATTTAAGTCAGTCTAAACAGTTTTTGTTAAGTTATTGGAAGTTAAGAATTTGTTACAGACGCCAACCACCGTCACAAAAAATGGAGACCATAACAACATGTCACCACTTTTTGGTGGTGACATAAAAACTTAATATGTTAACCTCAATTTTCTATACAGTTCAAAGTAACTTACTCGATGTTGACTTCCATAAATCCATAAAATAGCCGTGAATCACGATTCATCTTTAACTGGCTTATATCGAAGACTCATATCAGGTAATTGTTTCACTTTGAAACTGTCCACCTCACAGAAAAAGAAAACGCATTTCAGCATTTAAAAAAATTACTCCATAAATTTTATACCATTTCAATGTGCCAATATTGGTACATTAATACATACATTTGTCATTAAGGAACAAAATAATGATTTAAATATTGTCAGCCAGTGACAGTGGGCCCATGTACTGCTAGGACCAATGACAAGAATGTTGCCAAACCAATGAAGGGGAGTGTAAGTGGGTCATGTGCTGTTAGAACCAATATCTCGAATGTTACCAAACCAATGAAGGGAGTGTAAGTGGGTCATGTGCTGTTAGAACCAATAACACGAATGATACCAAACCAATGAAGGGGAGTGTAAGTGGGTCAGGTATGTTAGAACCAATATCTCGAATGTTGCCAAACCTACCGAGGGTTATAGATGGAACATGTTCTATTGGAACCAATAACACGAATGTTACCAACTAACGGAGTTGAGTGTAGTGTTGCCAAACCTATGAGGGGAAGCAAATGGGCCATGTACTTTTAGAGCCAATAACACGAATGTTGCCAAACTTTTGGAGCGAAGTAAGTGGGCAATGTTCTATTAGAACCAATAACACGAAGGTTGCCAGAACCATATTTCACATCAATCACAAGTACTCAGTGGAGGTCATTATACTGGTTGTGTGTATTTATATATTTATATCAGTTGACTCCAAATTATTATAAAATTAAAACTTAATAAACATGCTCAGTTTCCCACGATTTTTAAAAATATATACATATGACTTCAAGATCCTTCTGTAGAAATTTTATCTTCATATTAGTACATTTCATTGTTTTAATTTCTACTTGGGTGACATTGCCTAATGAACCATGATGTACATGTACTGGTGTACCATTGTAATTTGTGGCATGTACTACCTGACGTTTATCCAGGGATCAGAACTGTGCTGTCATATTATCTCCATTTTTCAATTGATTTTTTTTTGTTCGCAATTGTACTGATTGTACTTAAAAGTAAGATAATTTTACTAATGAACTTAGACTACCCATATGTACTAGTTAAAAAAGATAAAAAGTGTTTGGAATCTGAAGAAAACCAGTGATGCATCGAAAGAATTTATTAGACTAGTAGAGGTGTCTCGGGTCAGATATTTGACGGGTCGGGTCGGGCCAGAAAAAAGTTCGCGGGTCGGGTAATTTCGGGTCGGGTCAGAAAAAAACAGAAAAATGAAATTAGTACAGCAACTGAAACTACTGGCTGAAATAATGGGATACTAACCCTACTATCACACCAAACTAGTTTTCACTACGTTCTCGAAAACGGGCTTCAACTGTGTACGAACGGACTGGACGTACTTAGAACCGTTTGGGTTCTGTTTACAAACTTCATCGATTGACTCGAACGGGTAGGTCCTCTAGAACTTAGAACATGTTCAAAATGTTCTCATGGTCGATATGTTCTACAATTAGAACGAGTGACAACGTACTAACGACGAGCTGGACGTACCACGAACGGAACCGTCGTACTTCAATCCTACTAGGGACATTTTAACAACGAGTTGAACTATCTGAAGACGTATCGAGAACGAGGTAGAACTAATTGCAAACGGGTTTAAACTGATTAAGAACGTATTTAAGGCTGCTTATGAACGAGTTAGCAAAAATATAGCTATCACACCAAACAAGTTGCCACTGCGCTCTTCAAATCTGGTTTTAAACTGTGTTCGAACTGAATGAACGTAGCTAAAACGTTCTATGGTCTGTTTACGAACTTCATGGACTTTCCCGGACGGGGAATGTGATTCAGAATTTTGAATCGATTCAAAATTCAATTGCGATCATACCGTTCTGTAATCAGGTTATGATGACCTTCTAGACTAAGGGACGCGTTATACGACGTTGCACACCGACGTGGTGCAACCTGAACGAACTGCGAATGAGATGGACGTATTTAAGACTGTTTATGAATGAAGTAGCTAATTATTTTAGACATATTGCCCGACCACAGCCAGATTGAGCCCTTTTTACGACGTTTTCGTAGGACTGGCAAGAACGGGTAAGAACTAGTTTGTTATGATAGGGGGGGGGGTTATAAGCCTGACGTGTTTAAGCCTGCATTACTGCATATTATGCTTTGACAAGCACTTAATCGTTCGGGAAGAACTATTAATTATTTTACTTTTGTAAATAAAATGTATACAAGAAATAGGCCTGCTTTGAGTTAGAAATTTTTGCTGGGAATGTAAATAAATTTACGACAATTTACGATAATGGAGAGGTTAAGCTTTGCATATATAATCGAAACTGAACCTGTACGTATCACTCGACCATATACAAATTCATATAGCCTTCTCATATAAATAGCCGTTCAAATCCAGTGTTTGTTTAGACTACACCATAGCGTGTAATGATTCTATAGTATGTCATTGATGCGGTTTTATAGCTGGTTTTCTAATACATATTTTAAAGGCCCCATATAAAGTTTAAACCACTTTGGCTTATATTGTAGTCTTACCCAATGTTATCAAAGTGTGATATGTGAAACTTTGGTTGGTTTTTGATAGACTTTTTGTTCCAAAATTTGTGAATTTATTTAAAACCAACTTTTAGAGGTCACTCATATCTACTAATTAGCCACAATTCATACCAATGTATAGCATTCATCCTCCCATGTTTTTTGCCAAAAAAATTAAGAAAATCGGTTCATAAATAAGCGAGAAATGAACTTATCAGTGCATGAAAATGGTTCTGAGAAAAATGCATTTCAAAATTTTAGTTCTCATAGAAACCAATGGTACAATGATATCTAAAACATAATTTATTCTTCCTTTTAACCTGGTTAGACAATCAACATTGGTTTTTTATGAAAGTCTAACATATTTAGAAAAGATTGACATCGAAAAAAAAATTTCAATTTTTTCAAAAAGTTTTTGGTACCTTAGTGACATCACTAATGTTTCAAAATATTTTTGATATGCTAAAACATTGAAGTGGCCCATTAAATATGGCATTTAATTATTGAAATAGTGTGTCCTTTGTTCAATCTTTGCATTGGTGTTAAAAAGATAATCTTTTTTGAAATGCATTAAGAAATATTTGATGATTAAGAAATTTCAACTTTTTTTGAAAAATGGCGGGAAATTTGAATATTTGAGAAATGAAATGCTCACAACTTTTTTTTCAAAAATTTTTTTTTGTTCAAAAATCTCTAAAATCACTTTTTAAGTCCTGACAAATAGTAAATGAATGATAAAAAAATATTTTCAAACTTTAGACGGGGACTTTAAACGAGCTCGTTTCGTAAGATTTTTGGCGCTAAATCATGCATGACATACATCATCGTGTTCAGCAAGAATTCAACTGTGCATCGAAATCAAAATTGACAGCATAGTGCTCAATAGACACGAGTAAAATGGTTCCCGTTGACCCAACGTCAAATATTCAAATCTCCCGTTCTAAACCCGAAACTCTGAAGCTGAAAGAGTATCTGAAGTAGACTAAGCGCGCATAAAACTATGAGCGCTCGATACATTCCTTTGTTAATTTTTGTACTTTGCGTTCACGGTTACGTTGTGAAAAACATCGTTAGCTTAACCTCTCCATTACTGAATGTTCTGACCCGACCCGAAATTGGTAACCCCCTATCACACCAAACTAGTTCTTACCCGTTCTTGCCTGTCCTACGAAAACGTCGTAAAACGGGCTCAATCTGGCTGAGGTCGGGAAATATGTCTAAAATAATTAGCTACTTCGTTCATAAACAGTCTTAGTGGAGAGGTTAAGCAAATACGGTTTTTCAAAACGTATACGTAAACGCAAAGTACATTGAATCAACATAGGATTGTATCGCTTTAGTCTACTTCAGATACCCGTTCAACTTCAAAGTTGCGTGTTTAGAACGGGAGATTTTAAATTTCACGTTGCTATCAACGGGAGTCATTATACTCATGTCTGTTGAATACTATTCTTGCAATTTTGATTTCGATGCAGAGTATAATTCTTTCTGAAGAAGATGATGTATGTTACGCATGATTTAACTCCAATACTCAGGAAAAATATGTATTAGAAAACCAGCTATTGAACTTCATCAATGGCATACTATGTAATCATTACAAGCTATGGTGTAGTCTAAACAAACACTAGAGCTGAACGGCTATTTATGTGTGAACTCTACATGTATTTGTATAGGGGCGATTGATACGTTTAAGTTGCGTTTTGGATTTTATACGGTAGCTTAACCTCTCCAATACGTCCATCTCATTTGCAGTTCGTTCAGGTCGCACCACGTCGGTGTGCAAAGTCGTATAACGCGTCCCTAAGTCTAGAAGGTCATCATGACCGGATTACAGAACGGTATGGTCGCCATCTAATTTTGAATCGATTCAAAATTCTTAATCACATTCCCCGTCCGGGAAAGTCCATGTAGTTCGTAAACAGACCGTAGAACGTTTTAGCTACGTTCATTGCGTTCGCACACAGTTTAAAACCAGTTTTGAAGAACGCACTGGCAACTTGTTTGGTGTGATAGCTATATTTTTGCTAACTCGTTCAATAAGCAGTCTTAAATACGTTCGTAATCAGTTTAAACCAGTTTGCAATTAGTTCTACCTCGTTTTCAATACGTCCTCAGACAGTGCAACTCGTTGTTAAAACGTCCCTAGTAGGATTGAAACACGACGGTTCCGTTCGTAGTACGTCCAGCTCGTCGTTAGTACGTTGTCACTCGTTCTAATTGTAGAACGTATCGACCGCGAGAACATTTTGAGCATGTTCTGAGTTCTAGAGGACCTACCCGTTCGAGTACGTTTGATGAAGTTTGTAAATAGACCCCAAACGGTTCTAAGAACGTCCAGTCCGTTCGTACACAGTTGAAGCCCGTTTTCGAGAACGTAGTGAAAACTAGTTTGGTGTGATAGTAGGCACGGGTTGTATCCAAAGCCCCGTTATAATTGAGAGATCGCGAGCAAGTTCCCGCTGAAATCACGAGCAAAGTCCTTTTTATTTAATTCATCTGGAAATATGGACCAAAAAGGTAAGAATACGCATTACTGTTCTTTGATACTTTAGGTATACTTTCAGAACAGGTATATCTTCACAAACAATGACATGCAAGATAACTATTTTTACTGGCATGGAAGAAACGGGCGTCAATATGCACGTTTGCATAATTTACTGTTAACATATTACTTTTATGGTTAAAATAGAAACAAGAACTACGATATACATACCTCATTATGAATATCGGACCAACATTGTATGTATTGATAAGTTTGTTTTCAAAAACATCGACTGTGGGGGGTGAAATACATCATTGAAGGTGTGCCAGTGGCCCCGCTGAAATTATGAAGAAGCCCCGCTGAAAACATGAGGAGGTCCCGCTGAAAACAGGAGCAGATATCACGAGTACCCGCTTCGATCACGAGGAAAGCTCATTACTATTACATAAAATATTGAGGTTCTTCAAATAAACGTACACGAAAGACCAAGTTAAGTACATCTAATATTTACTGTATACTGTTTCATTCTAGGGCCAGGTTTCTAATGTTTCCATTCCAACTTCAAGCCACCAGAGATTTCGTCAAACATTTTATAGAGTTGCATCCATATCAAAATGTATAGGAGAAAGGTGGATAACATTTCAAGAATGAACTTAATTGAAGCCTGAGGTCCAGGGTAATGAGTCTTGTATTAAACAAAGACACCCCAAGTTGCAAGAAGATGAAATTTAGAGAGAAAGGAGAACCACAAAGTCTCCATGATAATTCAGGTTCTACTTTTATAATTTAACAATAACATTTAACAGTTTTTTGTTTTTGTTTTTAAATATTTATTAAAATAATGATGATTTGTATTCCATACCTGATAATTTTCAGGGACATATCAACCGGGAATATATTCCATATCCGGGCAAATATTTTTCGTATGTCCCGCTCAAACGAGGATCCGGGACATATAAATCGTATGTCCTGTATAAGCCATTTTCCTGGACATATTGTTACGCGGTAAACACGATACAAATATATGTCATATTCCACAATGAATTAAGAAATATAGACCAAAGAGCAGGGGTTATATCGTCGAATACACCCCGCAGGGCTAGGCACAAAGTTTTCTGTACCCCAAACGACCGAAGGGAGTGAGGGGTTTGAAAGCTTTTGTGCCTAGCCCTAAGGGATGTATTCGACGATATTATCCCTGCTCTGAGGTAGATATTACGATTCGAACATGAAAACTCACCAAAATGTTTCGAATATTCATTATGGTCCGCCATTACTACGGCCCGCCGTTATGACGTCACACATTACACGTATTACCAGGGGTTTTGTTCGCGAATATACCCCGGGTGAAATGTTGACTTTGTTTACAGTTTACAGAAGGCGTGAATACAGTCATGTTCGAATATGGCATATTCACTTGTGGAGTATGATAGATTCACCTGCGGTATATGGCATACTCACCTGCGGTGTAAGGCATATTCTGCAAGTGAGTATGACATATTCTGCGAGCATGGGGTATTTACCGAAATAAATGTATCACATATTCAATACGGAATATGCCATACTCACCTGCGGAATACGCCATATACTACAGATGAATATTGCATATACACCCGTATCACAAATACCACGCAACCATGAATATATGCCATATTCCGCGTAACACATACGATGTTACGTGGAGTATGGCATACATTTATGTTTGCGTGGTATTTGTGATACGGGTATACAGTATATGCCATACTCACCTGCAGTTTATGGCATATTCCGCAGGTGAGTATGCGATATTCCGCTGTGAATATGCGATACATTGATTTCAGTGAATACCTGATAGTCACCTGCAGAATATGTCATACTCACTTGCCGAATATGTCATATACCGCAGGTGAAAATGACACAATGATTACCCATTTGTTCAATCAATGCAATTGACAATTGCGTACTTCTGTATCGTGTTCTCATTGCTTAGTGGGTATGCAATATACTGCAGCTGAATCTGTCATACACCGCAAGTGAATATGCCTAGTTATTGCAGAATATGACACATATTTGCATCATGTTTTCCGCGTAACACGTGCGTTTAACATAACCTACGATTAATTGTTAATGATGAAATTATTTGATTATCATTATTTCGGACTCATATTCGGATGATGTACTCCTTTGTTACTTACATCTAGCAGTTGATCCATAAATTGCCTTTTCAAACGTGTGCGCCATTGGTGCTGAAACCTCTAAGGTAGTAATATACTGAACTACAGTATAATGTAACTTCAGTGAAATATAAATATATATTGCATACAAAGAAAAACGAGTTATTTGAAACTTGTCAAAAGTCGTGGAATGGATTTAAATCTTCTCTTGGTAAATTTCTCGATGGAGTCAGGTCGAAATACATTAAGTGAAATGGTTTTATTGGAATCATGCTCGTAGCCAGCTTTTGGTAAGGGGGGGGGGGGGTTGCTCGAACCGATAATAACAATGACAATGATATATGATATATATATGCTCTGTAGAGTATCAATAATTAATATATTTATTACGTTGGCTACAGTCGTGGCAGATTTGCAAAGTCAAATCGGTCTTCACTCCATTTTAGAGAGCCACTTGCTCCTGATTTCAGCGGGACCTCCTCATGTTTTCAGCGGGGCCTCCTCATGTTTTCAGCGGGATCTTTAGTTTATTGCTCATAGTAGAAGCGGGGCCTCAAGGGATATGCTAAAATTGAAATATATAATTTTTGGTGAAACTTTAGGAAATGAAACTTACAATACCTTCATTTCATATTACTATGACCATTTTAACTGAAGGGCAATGACCTTCAGCTATAAAATATAGAAATATATAGATAAAGATTCAAGATGATACATTCTCTCTCCAATTATCGAATAACAAAACTCAGAACATCAGCTCGTGATCCTTTTTTGCAGAAGTTGCTTTTTAGTATTAATACCATGTAATAATTGAGTAAAATTAAATGAAAACGCTTTTTATAACATACAATTTAAGTAAACAAAAGATAACCCTTCTTTTCTTTTAATTGCTCGCGATTTCAGCGGGTATTTGCTCGCGACTTCTAAATCATAGCGGGGCTTTAGATACTACCCGTGGTAGGGTTAGTAGTAGTTCGTGATCCGACCAGAGCCTTTTGACCCGAGATTCAGGTCGACTACGGGTCGGTGTGACATCTCTATGTATTAGTGTTAATGCACACTGGTGAATGATTGCACTCTTTAGGATTCACACTGCAGAGAAAATATGCTAATGTATCTATTGATTCTATAATTGATTCATCAGTTGTTACTATCACCAGTATGTATCCGTATCATCCATGACTGTACATACTTGGTTATTTCACTGATCTGACAAACTTTATGTAAACGATTTCAAAAAATAATAAAAAATTGAAAAATACCCCTCCCCCTAGCTTCTGAAATTTTCCATGTAGGCAACATTATGACTCGTTACTTAGGTGTTAGGCATTTCTTAACATTATCCCGTTAAAACACGCCAATATTCTTCTTTTGTAAAATTCGGTGGACTATTAATTTCAAAACTGTTATCAATTAAATGCAATATGTTTTTTCCCACTATATGTTTGTTTCTTATATTAGAGTATTTTAGTTCAGTTCATTTTTCTAAAGTACAAGTTGGTACTAGTTAAGAAAAACTTCAAAATGAGCAGACTGGTCTTTACAATTGGAGTTTTGGCTATTTTGTGCTTTACACAAACGGAAGGTGGGTCGTAAAAGGTACAATGCACAGTATCGATACTATTTTGTAACTAATTAGTTTACAGATTTTGTACCATCTTTAGTTTGGAAAATGTAAACGTTACAAAAGTAAAGTAATGCATTGTCGTCAATTCTTAAATTTTCGCTAAAACTCGGTGAACCATTACTTCGGCATTTTGTTTAAACATTTTCATAAAAAAGGTAGTTTGGGAAATAAATAGGAAAATTAGTGATTTTGTGTATATACGTCATGTAAATGCATGAACAACCTTCCCCTTAAGTTTACAAATGAATTTTGTTATTAGAATACTATATTTATTCAGATTAGCTAAATAGGATAACTGCTAAATGTAAATGCTTCTCAAATTACATGATATAGATTGCGTATAAAAAAACGCAACAAATTGTTATCTCGGAAAAGCACAAAACCAGTGATAACAACATTGATTTCATTTAATGTACCATAAAGCCATAAGTCTCCTCTTTCCAATGGTATATCATTCGTTGATATTGGGTCATGGTTGGGCGAGTAATCATTCCTGTTGCAAAGTGGGCCTAAATAAGCTTGGGACCAAGTTATAAACATCGCGAAAGTCAGTGTACGGGACCCAATGCAATATTGGAAGAAAACATAAAACCAATGATGAGTGCGTCCTTTTCATTCAATGTACCAAAAAGCCAAATTACTCCTCTTTGCTATGTAATGTCATTCATTCACACGTAGTCATGGATGACCGAATAATCATTAATTTCGCAAAGTGGGCCAAATTCAGCTCGGACCCAAGTTTTAAACATTGCAAAGGTCAGTGCACATGGTATAAGGGCTATTGGGAAAAGATGTGGCAGGGGTGGCAGAGACAGTAAAGTGTTTTCATATCCTTGCAAGAATACACCTTATACATCTCCAACAATGGCCACAACTTAATCATCTGTAGGTAAAGGTGGAGAACAACAGCCAATTAAGGCAATTCTTTCTCGAAGTTTTGCAATATTTCGTTGAAATCGCTAACTTGATCCAAAACGACGTCTGGTTGCAAAACTTTTATACTATGCTACTTAAAACAACTCGTAATGACTTTAACATGTTAATATTACATACTAAGTTACACTCCCCTCCATAAGTTTGGCAACCTTTTTTCCCCCATTGAACTACGTGTTAAAGCCTCTTTACCTTTGAATTTTTATTTACTTAACCTGCGATGAAAATACTTATACTATTGATGGAAACGTAATTTGACTTTAATTCCAATACCTCCAAATTTTCTCATTTTTTTTCCTCAATTACAGTAGGTCTAAAATTGATGATGAATTTGATGAATTTTTGAAAATCGACATTCCCATGTTAACCAATGGGAAATGGTAGGTTTGCCGCAAGTCATATGACAGAATATCCATCCATCCGAGTCCTTGCAAAAAATACGAGTTAGGCAGGTAATTGAATTTGCTAACTTTATTTAACAAAAAATTGATATGTTTCTTCAGGTTCAACAAAGTTATATGGCTTTAAAGTCGAAATTGTTTTTCAAAAAACCTCTCCCATTGAAATAACACAGGAGGCGAAAAATTATTTTCAAAAATGACTTTGAAGCGCTGTAACTTTAATATTCATCAAATAAACTAAACACTTAGTGTTCAAATAAGTTAGACAATTGAATTTTCTATATAAAAATATTTTTTGCTGAATCTTTTACTGAAAAGATATTCCGATTTCTGATTTGCCCCGAACCCTCCATTTCCCATTGGATTACATGGGAATGACGATTTTCAAAAATTCATCAAATTTATCATCAATTTTCGACCTATTGTAATTGAGGAAAAAAATTGAAAAAATTTGGAGGTATTGGAAATAAAGTCAAGTTACGTTTCCATCAATATTATAAGTTATTTCATTGCCGGTTAAGTAAATAAAAATTCAAACGTAAAGAGGCTTTAACACGTAGTTCAATGGAGAAAAAAGGTTGCCAAACTTATGGAGGGGAGTAAGTGCTTTAAATAGAAATAATAACATTTCGCTTCCGTCCAAATTATTTTAGCCCAGGAGCCAAACACATGTGAGAATTACGTTTTCGACTCGTATACGTACCAAGAGTGCCTCGATTTGGGCGGTCAATGTGTAGCGTTTGGGGAATTTTGTCCCGACCCCGTTGGCGATTATGATCTAGGTAAGACAATTAAGAATACGATTTTTCATAGATGGTGACTGCTTTCCAGAGTGACACTTCAATGCTTATGCGAATGTTAACAATATCATGCTCTTTGGGAAATGATTACAAAGAGAGATTAACAGCACTTTAGAACCTTAATGTTTTAGAGTTTCATGTCAAATAAGTACAGGGTGTTAAAAAAACCAACCCAAAGAAATTGCTATATCTTGAAAAATACTGGTTCAATTATGTTCATATTTTCAGGAAATAAAGAAGAGACTGTGTATGTATAGCTCCTGTAAATGATTAGTTGTAAAACATGATGCCTTGGACACCTGCTCAAAAGACAGTTGTACTAGAAAAATACGAAAAACGCAGTCAGGAGTGACTGCAACCGCAAACAAATTAAATAACTTCCTAACCATAGTGTTTTGGCTCTTCAAATTTGGCACAAATTATCTTCATTCACTGTATGGTAAATTTGTAGAGTGAAATCAAAATCACTTCAGGGACTTCACAGTCATGGTTGAAATGCTTTCAAATCGCAGTCAAACGCCCTGGTTCAGGGAGACTTGAAAGGAATTTTGACCATGACTGTAAAGCCCCTGGAGTGATTTTGATGAAACTCCACAAATTCACCACACATTGAATGAGGATAATTTGTGCCAAATTTGAAGTGCCAAAACACTATGGTTAGAAAGCTATTTGGTTTTATTGCTGTGGCAGTCACCTCTGACTGCGTTTTCATATTTTCCTAGTACAACTGTCATTTGAGCAGGTGTCCAAGGCATCATGTTTTACAACTTACTGACAACAGGAGCTACACATACACAGTCTCTTCTTTCTTTTCCTGAAAAAATGAACATAATTGGATTAGTATTTTCCAAGATAGAGTGATTTTCCATGCGCGTTTTTCGTATTTTGCTAGTACAACTGTCTTTTCAGCAAGTGTCCAGGACATCATGTTTTCACTAACAACAGGGGCTATACATACACAGTCTCTTCTTTCTTTCCTGAAAATATGAACATAATTGGATTAGTATTTTCCAAGATATAGCGATTTCTTTGGGTTTTGTTTTTTTTAACACCCCGCCGTACCATTGTTTGGTTCACTGAGCACTCTATCTACAAGAGATAAATCAAGAGCTTGAAATTTTTATTGACAAAGCTGTATTTTTGGGTCACCTTGTATACTGAGTATGATAATGAAAAACAGATTCCATCATTTTGAAATTCAACCACAATGTTACAAACTTAATGCCCCAGTCACATTTGCTACGGCGAGTGTACTGACCGATTGCATTTTCTACGGTCGCCGAATGCTTTCCTCAATTTCGAGGAACTACGGTCATCGTACGGTTGTCATAAATCAAGTGAGGACTAAGGCATAAGTGATCAATTGATTGGCTCACAACGGATACGGCGAATACAACTATTTCGGCTAGCCTGAAACCTTCCTATTCTTTGTTTTTCAGGAGATTGTTGTACCGATGCATCAGGGAACCCCATTGCAGAAGGAAGTACAACTCAAGGTTGCTGTGTTCCTCAGTAAAACACAAGTTTCAACACCTATTGATGATTTGCAAAAAAATGTGATGATAAATGCACGGAATAAACTAATTATATGATTATTTATCTTGAATTTGGCTATGTTCAGTCTTTTCTCATATTTCATAATAACAGTTAAAGTGCTAATTCGGTAATTTCTGTTTATTTTTTCTCACTGCAATATATTAAACAGATATTGGTAAGTAAAAATAGTATTCCAACAAACTCTCAACTCATTCTGCTTGTTCATTCGTGGCAAAATAAGATTTCCCGGGAAAAACATGACGTCACCAACAGAACCGGTTATGGATTTTAATCGGCAATGCGTTATGTAACTCGAATGTAAATTTAAAAGTGTTCATGTTATAAGTTGTGTTCTGATTGGCCAGAAAGGAGTAACGCTTACCGGAAATCACCTCATGGTTCAATGCCTTTTGGTTACAAGATTTTAGACGCCTTGAGTTATGTAATACTATCAACTGAGCGTGTTTATTTTCTATATTGTGTTCTGACTGGCCAGAAAGTAATTCTGCATGACTAGCTATGTGAAAACGTACCACTGGGTCGGAGGCTCTAATTTAGGTATTATTTTTTTGTTTATCGGAGGAAAAAATGTGGCTCCAAAGTAGTCATCTCTGAATCAATTCCTCACTTCATTGAATGCAGTTGCAATCAATTACACTAACACTTTATAAGCACGTTCGGAGATTATGAACTCCAACAACATATTCAAAACCCGTTCTGTTCGTGATGTCATGATTGACATTTAAAATTGTGTTCCCGATTTTGAACATCTTTTACATTTATAAAAATGTTTACAAGAACGGTTACTGGTTCGACTTGTTAATGGTATTTAATTCATTTAGAACGTGTATAAACTGTATTTTGACCCCATGAGCATCGAACAGACACTTTAACAGTATCAGACTTGTTCTCTAGATGTAAAGTAACCTATATTTCCTACGAGTACCTTAGAATGTGATGTGAGCAGACAATGTATGATGACTATTATACAAATATTTTATACTATTGAGGTGAATACCTGTTCATCTTTCAATGATCCTAGCAAGGTGTATTCCCCTGGCCCTTCGTGCTTCGGTGAATACACTTGGTGAATCATTTAAAGTGTAACAGGTATTCATCGAAAACAGTATGGGATGTGACAGTATGACTATCGACCTTCGTTTTTTGTACCTTTAATTGTATTGTTTGTGTTATTTATGGATTTTAGATTTAAAACGCCACATCTGCTGAAAACGGTAATTGTAGTATAACGCCACTGGCATCACAGTGTTTGGCCAATGGATACGTCTTCTTATTTTTGGCCACGTGTACGGTATAAACCAATAAGAGAGACGGGGGAATATTACAGTAATAAAATAACTACATGTATAAATACTGTATATAAAACTTCGGTTAAAAATCATTTTATTTTGCCAATATATTTGTATCAGTAGTGTTGTATTTGTAAAAGAATGTAACTTATAGTACCTACTATGCATTAACTAATTGCTAATTTTAAAAACCTATGATAGCCAATATATCATCGCTTCTTTGATGTACCAAAATGGGACATGGTTTGTTGGAAAGGTCTGTTAATAGAAGTTGTTGTCACAGGTTATGATTTTTCATAAATAGATGCATTGTGCTAGGGGTTTTATCTTTGTGTTTCAAGAGTTTCTGGCTTCCACACTGCTGCGTCACTCGGCGGTAGTGGATCTCTTCCACGGATGGCATCTGCTATTTTCTCAGCAATCATAACTGTTGGTCCATTAAGGTTTCCACTCACGACACTTGGCATAATAGAGGAATCTACTACTCTGAGACCGTCTATACCCAATACCCGACCTTGATTGTCAACAACAGTCATTGGATCATCAGTAGATCCCATTTTGCACGTGCAACTTGGATGGTACGCGGTGTCCGTTGCTTGGCGTACCCAGGCATCTATTTCGTCATCAGTGACGACACTGGGGCCAGGAGAAATTTCCTCCCCACGATACTCATCAAACGCTTTCTGTGCAAGAATCTCCCTGGACAGTTTTACTGATTGTCTAAGCTCCCAAATGTCAATTTCGGTCGCAAGGTAGTTAGGATCAATTAAAGGATGGTCCTTCGGGTTTTTGGATTTCAGCTTAATGTTCCCAATACTGGTCTGTCGCATCTGACTTGCATGGACCTGGTAGGCGTGACAGTTTCCACTTGTACGTCCGTGATCGAGCACGACAGACGGGAGAAAATGATACTGGATATCTGGGTGTGCGATTCCAGGTCGGCTACGTATCAATCCTCCCGATTCTAAATGCGCTGTTGCTCCCCAACCAGTCCTGGTTGCCAACCATTGTAAGCCAATCTTGACCATGTTATGGGGAAATTTCCACTGCGCCGTATAGAGAGTTATGGGTTTAACGCACTTCTGTTGGATATACAAATCGAGATGATCTTGAAGATTTTCACCAACCCCAGGAAGATGGGTCTGCACTGGAATATCAAGTGCTTTTAACTCGTCCGCGTTTCCAATGCCAGACAACATCAGTAGTTGCGGGGAATTAATTGCACCTCCACTAAGGATAACCTCATTTGCTTCAATACGTTTCAGTTCACCGTTTTGCTCATATTCAACTCCAGTAGCCTTGTCGTCAGAGAACAGGACACGTGTAGTGAACGCTTTTGTTTCTGTGTCCAGATTTGGTCTACTCAGAGCTGGCCTAAGATACGCTTGAGAGGTGTTCCACCTGCGCCCCTTGTGTATGGTCATATCCATTTCTCCCATACCCTCCTGGCAGAACCCGTTCATGTCCTCCGTATAAGGATATCCAGCTTGAACTCCTGCCTCTATGAATGCCTTATGTAAAGGATGCCCCGTTTTTCCACGTGACACCTGTAAAGGACCAGAGCCCCCTCTATAATCATTTTCCCCAAGCTCATGCGTCTGGGATTTTTTGAAATATGGTAAGCAGTTCGCATACGACCAACCCCTAGCGCCTTCGGATTCCCAGCGATCATAATCCAATGCGTGGCCACGGATATATACCATTGCATTAAGTGATGAAGAACCACCCCATACGCGACCTCTAGGCTGGTACATGACCCTGTTATCTACATTCTTCTGTGGCACTGTGTGATAAAACCAATTGTAGTTATCATTACACAGATTGTACATCAATGCAGCGGGCATGTGGATTTTCCAGTTCCACCAATAATCCTTGGGTCCTGCTTCAAGAAGGAGTACGTTTTTACTTTGATCCTCTGTTAGCCTATTTGCCAACACACACCCTGCAGATCCTGCGCCAACAATAACATAGTCATACTTCTTTGATAAACTGTTCGTGCTATATTGTCTTCTTATTGGTTGATTACATTGATGATATCTTGAATTTCTTGCTATCAGTAATTTGGGCGATGACTGGTGACACGTTGAATATGATCTAGTTTGGGGTACAGAAAGATTTGTAGATGTGTCCACATTTCCTAAATTGTGATGGTCGTCAGGGAGAACAATGGGCAACACGTGTATAGCACTTGGTACTACGTGGTCTGCGTCGGCTAGTTCCTCTGGTCCACATACACCAGTAAGCACAGCCACTGTTGCCCCAAGGTTGGCGGATCTTCCCATTCCTGTAACGGAAGACAGGACATCAGAGAGTATGCACTGTTAGGTGATTTAGAAATACACAATGCAAAGTTCAAGAAGGATATACAGAAGCAATATAAAAATACGGTCATGTCTATTTTAAAGTTTCAAAAAAGGTGAGACTGAAGTTGTCATTCCCAAACATTTCAAGTATGAAAAAGGTAAGCGGCAAGTTTTGGGTATCGGGTTTATCCCTCATGGATTGTGAGTCTCTTTCCCACAGCTCAATGGCACGCGTTAAAAGAATCGATCTGTGACTCATTATATTGCTATTTATTAAATTTCTAGAAACATCAAGAAGTGTTTAGATATGTATAAGGATTACTATGCCATTTCAGTTTAAGACAATAAATTGACTTGACAGTATGTCATCAGAATGTCGCGCATGTCAATGGCAATTATCAAAGATTTAAGACTAGACAAACATATGCTAGCAGATTGCAGAGTCATATAATATTTCAATTAAGGTCATTTTTGCAAGTCATGATCTTCAATTATTTATACATGATTGTAGACGTTTAACTTTTGACCTTTAGAATTTGATTTCATGTAAATGCTAAAATGGGCAATCAAACAAGGTGCGACGCTGTTATCAAATATTTTTAGGGTTGGAACAAGTCGGCCGTGAATTTGCCTTTATATTCGTTTGAATTCAACTTTCTACGAGGTTAGCAATTAAACATTTGTTCGTATTCACAATGTGTGAAATTGCGGTTATCAACAATATGATCTTGAGGTTATCAGTTTTCATGTAAGACCTATATGTTTTATATAAGACGCCCATGTTCACTTAGCATTGCAATTCATGACTACACAATTTTGGATGTGTATAATAATGCTTTTCAGGATCCTCGATAGATGGGACAGAATTCAATGGTTTGAAATCCATACATTAACGCATGCATGAAACTGCTTCAAAATCCTGATATAAGCTTGATAAATAAATAATGATCTGTGATCTCCCTAGAACAAGGAAAAATCCATTGAAATTACGAAATACCCCTAGGTATACTGGAAGGAGCGGTAAAAACTTCAACATTCGCATAAAAGTAGTTATCCAAAACAATGGAACATGGATTGAGCACATCATTCCTTAATCAGACATGTCTGTTGATGCCGCGTAACTTCTGCAAGATTAAAGACTGAGTGACCTTTAAGGTACCGACAAAGAGTTGAGACCTTCTTTTAAAATATGTGAGAATATTAGCTAGCCTATTATGTGAGTAAAAAGTGAGACATAGCTTGTTGCAAGGGTTCACTTTTTTGAACCACCCTGTATAAAAGTTTTTTTTCTTTTATAATCAATTTTCGAAATTAAATTGAAAAGTTTCACAGAGCACATTTTGATAACATTGAGTAGAACTATAATACGAGCCAAATTGGGTTAAACTTTATATGGGGCCTTTAAAAGTATAGTATAACTTACCGATATCAGCTAATGTGTCCCCGACCATGACAGTATCAGATGGATCAACATTGAGTGCATCACAGATGGTGTAAGCATTTTGCGGTGACGGTTTCGTCTCAGAACGGGCATCATCCCCACAGACGAGCGCATCAACATATTCCATCAGGCCCAATTTGTCCAGCGTTTCCATTGTTCCCTGGCGAGAGTCTGACGTACACACAGCTATTCTGATACCATACTGCTTTAGCTTTTTGAACGTGGGTAACACATCACCAACTGACTTAAGGGACTCCGAGTCTTGGACTTCACAGCCGTCCCAGACTCGTTGAACAGTGGACCTGGCTTCTTCGTGGCTTATACCGTTTTCTTCAAGGATTTTGAAGAGTTCGTTTTGAACGTCCGTTTGTGTGCCTTCAGCAACTACGCCTGGTAGGAATTTATCAGTTTCCTTAGAGAATCCCAATCGTTCAAACACCGTATCTGCCAACTTTAATCCAGTAGCATTTTCTAATCTAAAGAGAAATTCTCGTATTATCCTTCTAAGGGTTAAATCATTTAACAAAACGGTTGTGTTTTCATCTAATTGTTGACTGAATCTCGTTAGCCATTAACAGCATTTAAGAGACCAATGAGCTACGACAGTACATTTAGGAATTCTTATGATTGACCAATTTAATACTTCAGGAATTTGTAGGCGACAGCATTCTATCTAGCAAATACCATAGGAAGGAAAATTCAATTTCAAATTATTTGATTCATGAAGATACCAATAGAACTTTAGATACTAGTATACCAAATATAAATCAATTCTAATTCCAATGTCAAATATTCCATCATATGTCGTCCTAAGGTAATTAAATTGGCCAAATATCTTAAGATTAGTAAATGAATGACTATTTCTATAGGACGTTCGTCATGCGAAACATACATTGCAGTGTCAGACTGCAGATTATCTATCACTCTTTGACATACAATTCGGGGCATAATTTGAAAATCTGCAAAAAGAAGTGTAGCTTTTTAATGAAATCCTTATGTACTGAATATCATATCTTAATTAGTATTAGAAATTGAATTGTCATTTTTTTGGCGTATAACACTATCGTAAATATAGTGCTCCGTCGGATTGTGTAGTAAAAGAGTGTCGCTCTGAATATTAAATTTAAATCAGACAGACCAACGAAATAGCCATACCACTCACCTCTTTGAGAGTTTCATTATCCATGGTCGCCACATGGAATGAAAACAAATAAGCGTTCCGTCCTTATCAAATATTACCAGGGACTTCTTTCTTCCTGGCAAATGGGCTTCTTTCTTCTTAGCTACCAGTCCATGCCTTTCCACACACTCTCTGAATTTAGCTTCAGGAAGTATAAGTGGAAGGACCTCCATAACGCTGTTCACCGTATTATTAGCGATTGGTTTGAGATCTTCTATAGTTCCTATACCGCTTAGAACTCCAACAACAGCGCCAGCACCCGCGTTTCTGCCCATTATCATATCATTTGCAGTGTCCCCGATCAAGACAGTATCCTGCGGATTTATGTTCAACATTTGACAGATTAATTTGATATTATGGCCACTAGGGCGCGCCTTTGTGTTGACGTCATCACCGCATACCATAGCACTGATATATTGTCTCAAACCGAGATTTTTCATCGCTTGAAGTGCTGATGTTCGTGATTCCCGAGTAGCTACTGCTATTTTTATACCCTCCTCAGTCAAGATACGAAACAATGTGACTAGATCATCTAGTTTTACTAATCGTTCGGAATCAACCTCCTCCCAAATCTGTTCAACCGTCCATGCTGCTTCTTCCTCATTCATTCCTTCTTTTTGGAGGATATCTATCAAATGATGTTTGATTTCAGTGACCGTAGCTTCGGCTAAAAGAAGCCCTGGTTTAGTTTTCTGTGTGAGATCACAGAACCCCAGCTGATCATAAACTTTGCCTGATACATCCAGTCCTGTCATGTCTCTTATCCTGTAAAACAGCAAAAAGAAGTAATTCATTGTACAGAGGTGTCCTAAAGAAGAGGTAATCCCAAATAGTTTACTTTTAACGTTTTGAGGTTTTAACACTAACATTGCTCCATAGGAGACAATCTAAATCAATTTCAATATAAATCTTCTGGAATTTCTTCGCTTGAAAATTAGCTATTAATTGATTATATAATTAATTAATAAACATGTACGTACCGCATGGTTGTATTTTGTATCCATGGACTCCATTTTGCATTGAAATCTGTCAATGTGCCATTTTTGTCAAAAATAACCAATTTCGGTATATCATCTTGTCCAATAAGAGGCCCATTTCGATCATTGTTTGAAGTATCTGCTCCGGCTACTGTTGAAAAATCTGTTAGCCTGGGGAAACCGTGTTTCCCTGATCGACCCCATGATACAACAGCGCCACGCGTTCTTTCTGAAAATGTTTTGAGATGCGTTTAATTGATAATCCATTTTATTTTCGTTTAGAGCGTTTGAAGCTAATTATGTTTCAGCATGTTAGAATTTTTTTATCAGGGCTCTATTAGTTTAATGGTTGTGTTTTCGTTTAATGTTACATTGCTAGGGCTCTATTAGTTTAATGGTTGTGTTTTCGTTTAATGTTACATTGCTAATAGGTTGTTGGTTGTAAAACAGCTCGAGAACTCTAATATACTACGACAAACAAATTGTACGGAACTTATTTCCAACGATTTGGAGCTCCAGGCCCATAGCCGGCAGGGTTTGCAAAGGGGCTCAATTTTTTGCAAAATTCCACGGGGTCCATTTTGACACCATTGGCCCACGATCATTGGCCAAAATCACTCGAAAAGTGCTCAAAATGGTGATTTTGAAAGAATTTTGGCCAGTGGGGGGTCGCTAGCCTTGCCCAAGTCGGTCTCTTTTACTATCTTGATTTCTATTATGACCGCCTTGTACAAATGAGAAAGCCACGTGCTTTACCGACTCAATGTTTATGTCGGTAAAATTTGACCAATCAACGACGGCCCTGCAGCGTAAGCTCATATTATGCACGGTCAAAAACAAGTACACTTTTTACTTTTCGCCGGGACTTTTCACGAACAAATCTTGCATGAATTCATCATGAAAATAGAAATATTTTATCAGATAAATATCAATCAGAGTTTAGTGGATGCCGGAGCATCGATTGGTAACCGGAGGTGAGAAGATTTCAACAATAAACGTTGAAACGATCGCTGAATTCAAATAAACATGTAGGCTGAGATTCAATCATTGATCGACTACATGACCCGCTACATTGGACTCGGTCTTGCATTTTCATCGCGAAATCAGTTGTATGATTTAATTTATATTAATGACTCTTACATTCCCTATGTACATTTAATTACATAATATATTGTAACTCTAAAGAAACGATCGATCAGATCATTGAATTTCAAATCGTGAAGATTGCTTTGCTTATGCAGGTGAACCTGATAACGTTTTGATTGGTCAATCAGACTGAAGTCACACGTCGTGTCCACGCGTACAAGGGCGTTACAATACCCGGGAATTTATCGGTTCGTGCAGTACTTGTTTGTGATAGCGCCCTCTGTAGGTCACTGTGCTCATAGCCTACAGTAATACGGGGTAGGATATCGGGAATTCGGTCAGTTTCTATCCGTCGATTTCGCTATGAATTGAAGCAAGTGTGACCACTTTATCCACTTAAACAATTTGATAATTGATTAAATCTTTAAACAAAATCGATAAACACGTTATACACTTCCTATCTCCTTAGAAATTAGCATGTATTTATGGATTGTGTTTTCGAACAAGGCACGACCCAGACCAATAGGGAAATCCTTATGCTAATTAGTATGACGTCATATTTTCCTGGGGAATCCTAGATTTCAAAGCCTCAGTCTGTTATTGTGTCAAATGTAAACGCTCTTTTGCAGACAGAAAATTGACAGATTAGCTTTTAACTTTCAGCTTTGATGTTTAAATATTCTGTATTTCTACCGGACTTCTTGCTGAATATCATATAATGTTATAGCTTGATTTGGACCATTGCCTGATTGATCATTCTGAAATTTTGATTGTGATTCATGATTGATTGGCAAGAAAAATAATTCCTATTGTTTTCCAGCGAAGTCAAAATGTTACAGCATGAGTTATAATGTCGAGTTTGCATCATGTTAAATTCTGCTAGTGATTAGAAGTCCATGCACAAGCATACACATAAGAGACAAACACACCCAGGCTCCAGGCCGTGGATGGAAATATAAAACTATTTAAGGCACAAACTGGTATTAATAGACCGATATGTAGTGTCTGCCATGTATTGAAGGTAAACCAATCTGCATTATTAATGTTTCTTCTATCAATACATGGATTGTGCAATAGAAAAGCAATGGCACAATCAAAAATGTGCATATCAATCGTGAATATCTCTCGGTTCAAAGCTTATTTCCAACAGAATCGTGTCAAAATATGTGTCTGTGTAACAGTTATACATTATAAGATCGCAAACTCTTACCAATTATCAGCCGAATGGCTCATTTTCAACGAAATGTCCTTAAGACAACAGCCCTGGGTCGCGCCTGAGACCAAAAACTACTTCAAATAGCCCTCCCCTAATTATATTGGATAATCACATTTATGCGTGCGCGCGCAGCTCATCCACTGAACGAAACGCCACTTCCCGCTGAAATCACCGGGTATTGATCTTTCCCTTGCGCGTATATCTGTTAATGAATAAGGTTTCGCGATACCCCTGATAGCGTAGGTATTATGGAAATCTCGAAACCGTTGAATAACTCTGCATAATATCAGCGCAGGTCTATTGGATTGTACAAGGCGGTAATAATTCAAGATCAGATAAGTAAAAAAATACCGACTTGGGCAAGGCTAGGGGGTCGCTTCCCCCTCCCTGTCTACGGGCCTGAGCTCTTACCTTCTTAACTCGATTCATAAATTATGTGTATTGCATTTCTTAATGATTTATATCTTACCAAATATTCTAAACATCATCGGATCGGATCTTTTTAAAATGTATATGTCAACTGCCCTCTTCCTTCAGACCTTCTAAGCATTCCATTGGCTAGGGAACACCTAGAAAGATAATCATATAATGTGAAAGTAAACAAACGTTCACAGACTACCGAGTAAAACTACACCTACCTGCTTTTTGAACGAAAATACATTACCTGTTTCCACCCCATTATTAAAACCATAATATTCTGTACTTGCTTTCATGATATCAGAACCTCTTTCACCTGCCAAATATATACATGTAGGTTTGACAACCATATTTGGAAGTGTTACGATATTATTCATGTGTGAATTTCTATTTTGTTCCATCTTCGGAGGTTTTATAGCAAAATTTTTGCTTTTTCTGTTTCGTATTTGTATTTAGGGGCAGTCAAAAATATTTGGATTTGATTCAACTTTTGGCTATTTAAGTGGAGTCGAATACAAAGTGCTTGTTAGATAAATTGTTTGAAATTTCCAGTTCATAAATAATTGCATGCAGATATGAGTTCAATGCTCCGGCCATTAGAACCCTCTGTCATAAAGAATTTAATTTAATATAGTCCAGAGTTGTATATCAAATTTCCATGCTCGGTAGCATGTTGTTCAGATTTACTCTTTCACTTGAGTTTATCAATTTTCGACAAATCAAACTAGGCTGACATTTTATATTTTGTTCACTGTTTATCTCATCGGTTCGGATGTCAATATGAAATATATATTATTATAAATAAAAGCCTTTGTTTATTGGAAGACGAGATCGTCCTACCCACAGGCAAAGGATATTTTAAAGTGTTATGAATTAGTTCATTAAAATTATGAAAAGCATTTTGATGATGATATACTTGTTCGATGATCACTAAGCAATGTTTAGAGCCAGTTTAAAAAGCAGGAAATGTCAAACTTTCTAAATAACACTTTTAAGACACAGATAATATATACGTAGTGTTTGAGGTGAAAATAAGCTTGTATTACAAATGCAATTTTCGGCTGTCGGCTACCGGAATAACCTACTTTTCATGACAAAATCATCTAATTATGAATGAATAGTGGCAGGTACTAGTCACATATAAATGAGTTACCCATAAAACAGTAGCTTAATCCGGTAGCCGACAGGCGCAAATACACGCTTAGTTATCGTGTTAAAACTATTTTGTCTAAATATCAGTGTTACATCACCAATATGAACATTCAGGTGTATAAAGTACAGGATAACTTAGGCAAAGTTTAAGTAGTTACCTTGCATCTTTATAGAAGTAAACATGATAAAACGCAAACTCATTGATTATTTTGTGTTTTTCGAGCACTTGTTAATGCACTACATGTTTTAATCAAGGGTCGTCTGCACTCTGTTAAAGGCCCCAAAGGAAGTATTTTTTGAATTATACAAATATTGTAAGTCATGACTCAAAAAACAATTGTTGAGACATTTTCGAAAATTGTTTGATTTTAATTTTCAAACATTTGAATGTTTCCCCATTTTAGCAGCGAAAGGTTTGATTTTTAGATCGCCAAATATAAGTTGCAAAACACATTATTTTCAACATTCCACAGGATACATCAAATCACAGCTACATTAAACGATTTCACTACATGGTGGAATTCATCAAACTAGTAACGAGTATAGATCCATTTCGATAAAAAATTGAGCAGCTTAGGAGGAACGATTTTTCTTTTTCTAGGACTTCACGAGTTGTAGGCAGAATCTTTACGACCTTTCTAGCACAAACGTGTGTCTGCATCATACATGGTGTTTCAAAAAAGATTCAACCCACATACTTTACAATGCATATCTTTTTAACCAATGAAGGTCGAACAATCTCATTTGGCAGAAGTAAAAGTAATTTAATGTCCTTTACGTTGAGCAAGTCTCATCAATGTAGCTTAATATGTATGACCCATTTGCTGCCCATATAAAGAATGTGCTCCAAATGGCTACCATTTCGTATTATCAATAGTTTCGTATTATCTTAGCGTCTGCGAAAGACTAGTCCTTGAGGCGCTAGAATGATGATTGACAAAGTAATAACGCAGATGCGAGTAGGTAGTTACCAGTTTCACTACCAGGTGGCTCGTTCGGGTCAGATAACATGTACCCTTTGCATTCGTTTGACTTCACTTCTTAAAAGAGAGCTTCACGCAGGGTAGATAACATGGTATAGTAGAAAGTTCGCTTTAACTTAAATTACATCTGTTTTAGTGGTTCAATTTCCATATAACCTTTATGTATCTAATAGTTAGGCAAATTAAAATATGTCCTGTAAAATAAAATGTTATCTGTCCAATACAATAAAAGATATTTCACTTTTTGTGATTTTGTAACATGGTGTCTATGGAGAATCAACCCGAACTAGAAGTCACATTTTCAAAAAATTAAATTTTCAAAGCTGATAAACAATTTTCGAAACTATATTTCTAGATGTACTTTTACATGTAGATTTCAAACATGACATCACTTTGACTGAATTTTGAATATTTAATGACGTAAATCAAGATTATTTCTACTCGCATTTGGTCTATTCCTCACTATTTTAACGTAAATGGAACGGTTAAAACTGCAAATATGTTAACACTTCTTTAAAATCCAATTTCTTAACAAAATTGAGGGATTATATCGATGATTCGGGTGTCTCGTGAATTACAGTATATCCATTCGCAAACGCTTAAATGTTCTAAACATGATACTGACACCAGTTTGTGCCAAAGGGTCATGAAAATCTCGCCTACATCTTGTGAATTCAGGGAAAAGAAAAATCGTTACTTCGAGGTTGCTACATTTTGTTCCCAAAACGGATGCGTTTTCGTAGACATTTTAAGAGTAAAACCACGATGCATTTCAATACAAAAATGCAAAATATACTTTATATCGGTGTAAATTTAAGTAACATGTTAAGCAATTTGATAACAATGGGTGAAACAGTAGACTACAATATAAGCAAAACTAGTTAAACTTTACACGATACCTTTTTTGATATGATGCTACTTTAGGAAGTGTTAATTATTAAACATGACACAAAAATATTGTATTTGACTTCAAATTCTTCTTCTGAAAATGTTTAAATATAATTCAAAGACATGGTTAATTATATTTCATATTTTGAATCATTACTAAATATATCATCACTTACCGAGTGGTCGAACTTCGAAGTTAGTGCCGATGTGCGCTGAGGAAAACAATGGCAATCCGCTTTAAATTATGATGCTTCAACATTATCAAGATGGACCCTTTTCAATTGAACTTTATTTGTTAAACTGATTTGAGTTCAGGTGAGAAGTGATATGTCAATACAGTCTATATCTATATGATGTTTATGTACGTATACTTGAATGATAAATACGCTTGATACCAACAACCGGCGCGGATACCAACCGGGCTACTGAAAATTATGCAGATAACTGAAAGACTGAACACCTGGTGTGTGCGTGTGTTAGACCAGTGACTGATATGTATTTTTAGCACACGATTGTCTGAAATGTGCGTATATTACACGAATGTCTGAAACGTGTGTGAATCCAAGTGGCTGAAATATACGTTTTCTACAAAAATGGCTGAAATGTGCGTCAACTACACGAATGTCTGAAACGTGTGTAAATCAAAAGGCAGAATCCCCACGACATTTTTTCACGCAAACGTGTATTCAGTAGGCTTATACATATAATTTAGAATTTAGAGTTGAAATGTACGACTATTACACGAATGTCTGACACGTACTTGAATCGCACGCGTTACTGAAATTCGCGTGTACTACACGAGGGGCTGCAATGTTAATGTATTACACAAATGGTCCAGTGGCGGATCCAGGAACCAACAAGGGGGGCCCAAATTTGAGGTCAGAGAAAACCGAAAAGTGGGCCCAAATTTTGAAAATTTGAGGCCCATTTTCTTCAAATTTTGGTCTAAAATTAAAAAAATAAGGCCTTAGAAGGCCCAATAATGACCAAAAGGCCCACTTTTTGGGGCCTTTTTTCTGGGCCAACCTTAGGGGGGGGGGGGGGGCATGGACGAGTGGCCGTTTTGTGCCACAGTCTAGTATCACCTGTTTTATCATATGTGACAGCATCCACTGCGTCAAATGTGAAATTCCAAGCAATTTCTAGACGTGCAAAGATAGTCTAGGAACTCCGCGTATCTAGAGATTCCAAGACGTGTCAAGAGGTGCAAAGACCTCGCGTGTAAAGAGCGTGTCAAGAGTTTTGATATCTCTTTGCACAGCCTTATCGAAACAAACAGTATAATTAGACCGGCCACATGTTGTTATGCCCTATAGTCGCGCTTAATTATACTTTACTAGGATTGGAATATAACAATCATTTTAATTTGTGTTTTTTAAATCATTATCAAAATAAAATTAATTTAAAAGTATGCGTGTGCGTGTAAGTATAGGCAATAGCTTAGTCGAAATGAGTAGATGTGTGCAGATGGAGATCGCCTATGTATTTTGCTAAATCTGACATTTTTACATCTATAAATACCTTTGAAATCAATTTGATTTTCGATCTACATCTGAATCTCAGATGGAGAGTACTCTTTGACAAGATCAACATTTAAAAGTGTAGGAAAGTTTTGATAAAGATGTTTAATAGATAATTATTCAGACATATTGTTCTTTCATGTTGACGATCATCGAACATAATTGCAATCAACTTCTATGATATTTGCAATTTTGAATTTTGAATTATTTTGAATGCAAATGTACTCGAGTACTATATCCTGAGTTCTGCCCGGATCCCCGAAAACGTTTAAAATCAAACTCGATTATTTAGCTAGACTTCAAAATAAGGGATTCAATAGAAACATGAAATCCATATCACTGTATTAATTGTGGAATTTCTAGTAATTTTTAGACGTGCTTAGCCGGTCTAGAAACTCTGCGTATCTAGAGATAGAGGAGGGGAGAGAGGGCTAATTTTATAGCTGAAATTAAAAATAATAAATATAATATATGGTTGTTCTTATAATGAACAACTATTGGTTTAATATCTGATATGTGGACGGATATTTCTTGATTTGGTTTAAAAAGAAACTGAATGTAGGGTTGCAAAAATGAGGGAGACAAAGACGTTCGAAGGGTGGGGGTAAAATTTAATCAAAATTAAGCTGAGACAGAATGAGAATAAACATATCTGTTAGTTGCTCATGTAAACGAAAACAAATTAGAGGGTTCATTAACACCGCAGACCAGATTTGCAAAATTGGGGGAGTGCATTTTCCCAGGATTTCAAACAATACTATATCTAAAATGTTGCCCCTCATATGCCTGGGTCATATTTGCTCCGATTCATCGGCCGGGGGCCGGCCGATTGAGTGTTTTTTCAAACATGAAAACAATTTTAAACAAAATACTCAATCGGCCGGAGGCCGGACGATGAATTTGAGCAAATGTGAACCAGACGTTACAAGCAAATAATTATGCTTGAACTACCAGTTTCAGTAGCCCCCTGTCCTTCATATATTAATACTTTTCTTGTACCCTCGTCTAGACCACACAATAATCAATTAATTTTACTGTTTGAATGGGTTTTTGCTTCTTCATGGACAGGATATCCCAAGATTACCTTGATTACAGCATGGGCTTTTGAAATAAGATGTTACAACAAAGGGAATATTGAAAACTACAGTGGTAAGAGCATCTTTCTGACTGCTAATTATGTGTATCAACATTTTGATTGCACCTCAGCTGGAGATTAAATCTTATAATGATTTGATCAAAGGAATTGTAATTTTCCCCAATTCGCTTATCTATGTTACAATCTGTATACTTGTTATATTGTGAGCGGTATGTGTTGATAAACCAAAAAGATATGTTTTTTGGATATCAACATTTAAAAAGTGTAAGATACCATTCTATATGTTTATCTTAGTGTTTAGCATAGGTAAGAATGGGGGATGGGCTGGCGGGGGTCCGTCTTTGAATAATTCCAAGGGGTTCATATATTATCACAATTTTGCTACAAAATCACTTGGAAAGTGCATGATTTGAAAGATTATTTGGCCAAGGCGTCCGCTATTAACATGAGTATGAATTTTATAAAAAAAATTACTTGAATCAAAATCGAAGAATTCCTTGCCCCGTGTGTTCACCATTCACCCCGGGGGTTCACACTCGGCTCAGGTGGGGTACCTTTCTTACATTTGGTATGTCAAGCCAATGGACCCACATTTAAAGACAGATTTTTCCATTTTCTGGTATAAGAATCGGTGTGGAAAATATGTTACCCCTCAATTGTGGTACGGCATTGGTCCCGGGGTATTGGTCTAGTTGTTACACATATCCTTCATTTGAGGTTGTTTATGATCATTTTACTCAAAGATCTGCCTTCTTCTCGGGGCATTCGATATTTCGAATGGCCTTGGTCTTATATTCTGGATATTTGGTAACCGGGGGTATGTCATTGGTTCTATATTTGGATGTTTGACATGGCATTGGTCTTGTGTTTGGACATTTGATATGGCTTTTTGGGGTTTATTTTAGTTTGTATGAGAACACATTTAATGCCACCCCCCCCCCAAATTACAAATCTACATCTATTCTCTCTATCCCAAAGGTGGATCGGAAGCATGAAAAACAGATGCAGACTCGGGACAGTTGCAAGGGGGCTATAACGGAGAAATTCGTTTTTATTTTGAGTCTAACTGAAATATTTTGTCACAAATATTAATTAAATACGCAAATAGCCTGTTTTATTAAATGAAACTAGGGCAAAAAATCTATTCATTAAATCTAAAGCCTAGACGATATCTTCTGTAATCAAGGTGGTTTTGGTACACTTCCGCAATTATAAAAACAAAAACATAGACTAAGTTATTATTAATCTTTTGTTATCATATCAGATTAAGTCAGTTTTGTCTCCGATTGTTATGCAGGTGTGTGTATCGACTCCAGTGAACAACATTAAGTGAATCAATCCTTGAAATTCCCAAATTCATTCCAAATTCTGGCCGTTAACCCCCCCCCCTCCCCCATGTCTCTTAATTACATTTATTTTGCAAATGATATATAAATTATAGATTAAAATATTTCATTTTCGAATTGCACAAAGGGCAACATGTGAAGATAAAACCGCGATCCTAAAGCTACTTGCGAAACAAAGTGGTTTATGGTCCCCAATATCATTATTATATTAATACCAATACAATGTACCTCTATGAATATCATAAATTCACTCCTTTTTAATATCAATAGTCAAACAAATTAAGTAGTATGCTACAGTTGGTTATCAATCGGAGTTCACGACCTATTAATTACTCTTTAATACAAAATTTAACCATTTTAGAATGGGTAACTCACACACCCCCCCCCCGTCCATGTCCATGAAGTGCGTAGACTGACATAATAGTGCCATTTATTAATTAAACATCACTGATTTATGTTGAGACATAAAGTGCGATTATTTCATTTCTTTGTTCAAAAAGTTAAAGCACCAATTAAATACATATTTTTATCACACAAAAGGGGCAGAATACTTGACCTTGTATCAATTCATATCCCGATAATTCTTTACAAGGGAATGTTTCTTATTAAAATATAAGCAGCGCCTAGGCGTCGATGGGGGGGGGGGGGGGGGTCAATCCGGTGTTCTCAGGCTATGTACAGCCAAGTATCCTGTTTATGTAAAAACCCTACGTTCCCGAATCACAATCAGACAATTAATTAGTATATTTGCTGTGTCTAGCAATTGATCATGGAATTAGATGTTGCGAAAACTATGGGAACTTGTACCTGTCTGTTTATGGATAGGCTGGGAAAGAACAGCAGAGAGAATGGTACATTCGATTGAATATGTTTGTTTTGCCCAATTGTGTATTAAAATGCCCCTCATTTATCATATGTATGGTCACAAGTTAAGTCGGCGATAATTTGTATTGACTTAACTTGAAACAAATTACTCCGAAATCCAAATACTCATCGAAAAGTAAGGTTATCTTTATATTAAGCTAATACAAAATAAATATATAAATAGGCCTGATGGATCAGTGTTTTCAAAGTTTATTGCACGTTTTATCCTTGAAACGCCTTTCTTTTTCTTATCATGATATGTATTTCCTTCACATAGGATCAATGCGTCGATTAGCATTGCCTGTAACTGATTTATATTTTCAAAAGGCGGCATGAAATTGCCAAAATGTTTAAATAAGTCAATGTGTCAGCGTGCATACAAAATAGTCTGTTTTATATTTGCTACATGTACTTGTTCCAAACAGTCTGCGAAAGAATGATTAAAAAATATATCAATTAAAAGTATCAGAGAAAATACTTGTAATCGTAAAAATACTGTATGTATTGCTATTGGTAATTAGGTTAGTTGTTTACACATAATTATGTTGTTCAGTGTGCCAAGAGCATGTCAAGAGATTCCATTAATTGTCACAGGGCGTGCAAAGACTTTTTGACATGGTCTTTACACGTCTTTGCACTGCGTGTGCCAAGAAGTGCAAAGAGGTGTAAAGAGTTGAATTCATCGCGTGTCAAGAGGTGTAAATAATTGGCACGTCTAGAAACCCGGCGTGTAAAGATCAGTTTCTAGACGTGTCAAGAGTTGGAATCCCATATTTCACGCAGTGATCCTTGCTCATTAATGTTCAAGTTTTTATAGCTCCTGCAGAAAATACTTGCAACAGATAACTGGAACCGCCTGAAATATCCTGCATTTCGGTAACATTTTGAAAAAAGTAAAACATTCGTCGTGAAGGTATTCATATAGTTGTTCTATATTTCCATCTCATGCAACTTCACTCTACTTACCTTGCATTTGGTGATCATTAGTAATGATTATGTTATTTGGTTCTATTTTGTCTGTTCCTTTTTTATTGTTTATAGGATGGCTGCTTGATGTTGATAGGATACTTTCAAAAATATACTATACATTTACAATACAATTAGGACAAACAGAGTATCTTATGCATTTCTATGAAGTATAGAAGAGTGAACTTAACCTGATTGAACCCATTGAACAACCTTTATCAGCTCCTTATTAATATCACGAGTGAAGTACCTCAAACTCTGCAGTCAGCTCGCATCGAAGATTCTGGAATGTGTGGCTTTTTCAATTTTTGTTGAGCTATGTTGCACGATGTAGCCTCCCCCTTTATTTGGGATAAAATCATCATCATTTCGTGATGCTGTTTCTATGACAATCGCATCTAATGATGATGCGATTATCACTTTTTTCATTGTGACGTAATTGTTTTGTGACATTATTTTGGTCTACGAGGGATGATCCAAAAGTCTTGGACGCCCTGCCCTATTTTTGTTGGTTTTTGATAAAATTTCTTTAAACTTTCCAATAATAAAGACCAACAACCTAACTACTTTGTGTATTAATTTCATGGAGAAATGATATATTTTATATAGTTTTCTAGATAGTTTTTAATACAGGGACCCTGCCACCCGGAACGGTATTTGCACATGGCTACTTTCAGCCTTAAATGTTACCGCCATTTCACTTGTTTCGCAAGTCTTGACAAATATATTTCTTTGAATTTTGAATGTTAAACCATGTTAGTTTACTTCCTTTATTACTAGGCAACCAATTAATTGTGTTTTAATTATAATGCCACATATGACAATGGCCGCACATGGTCAAATTCTAAGAAAATGCCATCAGACAAGCAACCCTCATTCTGGTATCACGTTTGCTGCAAGATGGCTGCTGAAATGCAGAACACGAAAGAAATCAAAGTGGAACAAAGAATACTACAAGATATTTTCACTATTATTGACCTTGAGCAGCTACCTTATGCACGATACAGTCTAGATATGGCTCCATGTGATTTTCTTCCTTTTCTCCAAGTTGAAAGGAGGGTTGAAAGAAAATGTTTTTTACTCATTGAATGAGGTTTAGAGTAGCACCCCAGCAGCATGTGTATCACATAAGCAATGGCGGTTTCATAAATGTCTTCCATTCATTGGTAAAGTGGTATGAAAAATGTGTTCAAATTCATGGAAAATATGTTGAAAAGTAGGTCTTAATATGTGAAGATGATGATGGCAGATGACACTCAAGATTGAAAATCGAAAATTCTCTCATATCATTGCTGGTGTAAGGTTTGCACCTGCACCTAAAGTATTTGCCATATTATAAAAGTTGTGACGTGATTTGCTATATTTAAATACCGTTCCGGGTGGCAGGGACGCGGTATTAAAAGATATGTAGAAAAATAGCTAAAATATATTATTTTCTGTTGAACCTTATACATAAAGTTGTTAAGATGTTGATCTTTATTATCTAAAGGTTTTATGTAATTATATTTAAAAATAGCAAAGATAAAGCGGGGCGTCCAAGACTTTTGGATCACCCCTCGTACAAGGTCACATTTAGTTCATTCATTTCATTGATTTTGGCAAGTAGTGCTGTCCCCAGCTCCGATTTCGGTGATCGGCTAGTAAAAAGGTTTGAGGGTATCATTTTGTTCCAGACACTCGCTAGAGTAAATTATCCTAACTTGAGTAAAAATGTGTGGTAAGTGAATTCGCTATGGGCAGTTAGAGAAGCGCCATCTATTCATTTTCAAACAGGGGGTAGGGGTATAAAATAATTTTTTATCACATTTTATTAGTAAAATGACATTGAAATACTAATAAAATCTTATCAAAAACATCATTTACAATCAGTATGAATTTTCTTGTGTGGATTAGGGTGAAAATAAAGGCATATTTTGAAATTCACTACAGGGGCACCACCTATTTTCATACTTCTACCACATGTAATAAGTTATTTTAGATTTGTTAAGGTACCAAATGTACTGAAAAAATTCATTCTAAAGGACCTATATATGTTCATACCACATACTTAAAATTGGATCAATAGCTTTTGTACCTGGGGAGAAAAAAATTCTTGAAATTTAAAATGGTGGCATCATTCAGGATAGGGGTGACCATATCTCACATGATTAACTTCTAAAATATGGAGCATATGTATCTCAAATGTACTCAAAATGGTGTATGTACTCTTGCTTTGTCATAATATTACTAATAAGAAGTAGAAAAATGATTGTACAATTTAAAAAAATATTAATTCTCATTTTGGCTTCTGACGTCCCAGGGGTGACCATATCTCACCTTAGTAACTTCCAAAATATGGAGCATATGTATCTCAAATGTGCTCAAAATGGTGTATGTACTCTTGCTTTGTCATAATATTACTAATAAAAAGTAGAAAAATGATTGTACATTTTAAAAAATATTAATTCTCATTTTGGCTTCTGACGTTCCAGGGGTGACCATATCTCACCTTAATAACTTCCAAAATATGGAGCATTTGTATCTCAAATGTGCTCAAAATGGTGTATGTACTCTTGCTTTGTCATAATATTACTAATAAGAAGTAGAAAAATGATTGTACAATTCAAAAATATTAATTCTCATTTTGGCTTCTGACGTTCCAGGGGTGACCATATCTCACCTTAATAACTTCAAAAATATGGAGCATTTGTATCTCAAATATGCTCAAAATGGTGTATATAGTCTTGCCTTGTCATAATATTACTAATAAGATGTAGAGAAATTATTGTACATTTTAAAAATATTAATTTTCATTTTAGCTTCCGACGTTCCAGGGATGACCACTGACCATATCTCACCTTAATAATTTCCAAAATATGTAACATATGTATCTCAAATGTACTCAAAATGGTGTATATAGTCTTGTCTTGTCATAATATTACTAATAAGATGTAGGAAAATGATTCCACATTTTTAAAAATATTAATTCACATTTTGGCTTCTGACTTCCCAGGGGTGACCATTTCTCACCTTAATAACTTCCAAAATATGGAGCATATGTATCTCAAATGTACTCAAAATGGTGTATGTACTCTTGCTTTGTCATAATATTATACTAATAAGAAGATTATACATTTAAAAATTTTTAATTTTAGCTTCTGATGTCCCTCAATAACTTCTAAAATTATGTAACATATACAACTCAAATATACCAAAAATGGGGCATATGGTCTTGCTTTGTCATAATATTATTAATGAGATGTAGAAAAAATTATTACACCTTTTTTGAATTGAAATTTTCATTTTAGCTTCCGAATCTGACATCCAAGGGGCAACTATATCTCACCTTGATATAACTCTCACGATATGTAACATGCATCTCAAATGCGTGCCCAAAATGGTATAAATATACAGTAGTCTTGTTTTGTCATATTTATTGAGATTCATGAAATCAGAAGTCCAGAATTTATGGATTGGACTGTCTCCCCTGCAGGCTTCAGCTACATATAGTCCAGAGACATTAAGATCTACTTTCAAATATTTGCATCTTCTCCCCAAACACTCCTTATATTACAGGAACAATGGATGATAAGTCTTTTGCATGCCTTGGATGCAACATCTTTTGTATACTGGTAGCCTATCAGTAGTGTGAGTAGCCTAGCCTCATTTAGCAAAATTGGCCTCTTAACCCCAAATCTGACCCGAAATTTTGAAAATATCCTGAAAAATTAGGCCTAAAAGGCGCATTTATGCCCAAACATGCACCAAACTGTCCTACTGCTAAATTACAAGGGCGATAAGTCGCTTCTAATCCTGATTGACATTCTCTAGTTTGCATGGTTTGTCATGTTGTGCTATATTCACTGGCATGTAGCGGCCCTGATATCGATAAATTCTACACGCAATATAACCCGAGACTACATGCTTGGTTAAAACTTTACACGAAAAAGCTTCGATATCCGGGCATTTACTCTTACACTGAACTGAAAATAGCATCGTCTAAACGTGTATGTGTTGGCTTCCGGGTAAGTTTATCAACATTTATACTCAATTGAAAGAGCAGTCGTGCTTATATCGTGTACCAGTTTGATTTATTTATATGTGTGTGTATTTATAACATGATAGCCTAGTAATACCGTGTCGTTAGAACAACTGCTAGATATCGAACTGATGACCTGAAATTACATTATTCGACTGATCGCGCATCTGATATTAAATGATTAATTTGCATTGAATCTGATATTAACTTGCAACACAATACCATGACTTTACATTTGAATGATAACACGGCCTCATATTCTAATCCATTATACGTCCATTGCAGGCCAAAAATGTTTCAATGTGGATATTGTAATGCACACGAGAATACATTCGATTCGTATATTGATCATACATCAATTGAACATGGAGATTTTCCTGTACACTTTCCCAAACCTGTGGAATAGACAAGATGCGAGTTGAAATTATCTTGATATACGTCATCAAATATTCAAAATTCATTTTTTGAAAAAATTCGAAACCATCGAATATCACTTTTTAAGACGTGATATTCGATAGTTTAAAAGTGATATTCGATGGTTTGTAAATCGTTTGCTAAAATATGATATCTTGGTCCACATATCAAATATATCATCATGTGATATTCGATCTATATCATTGCAACCATGGGATATAGAGGATATCCTATGATTTATGAGAGATATGATTTTTATCCACGAATGCATATGATATCTGCACGAGCGAGCGTAGCGAGAGAGTGCAGATATCAATATCCATGAGTGGATTAAAATCATATCACGAGTAAATCATGGGATGTTCTTTTTAAATGCACATTGTTTCAAAAATAAAATAAATAAATAAAATAACCGGGAAACTAAAAAATAGGTCAATACGCTCCAATACGATTTTTCACGGGGACAACACGATTTTTTCATGTAATACGCTCCAATACGATTTTTTCCCGGGGACAATACGATTTTTTCATGTAATACGATTCAATACGATTTTAATTCCTTCATATTTCCCTGGAAAAACAGTAGTATTATGGAATAAAATATATTTTCCCTCGGGACCTGCGGTCTTCGGACAGATATATTATATTTGCCTCGGGGTAATCCCAATATCGTGAACCTCATATAGGATAATCTCTATATCTACCTGATGGACCATAGGGACCGAAGGTAGACGTGCATATCTCACGAGGGATAAACCCCATATCCAAACTGACCGCACATATCTGCTTTATCATATACCAAGTAGTTTTCAAAAAATTAATCTTATTTCCTTTTTTAAATTTTTTAAATTTTTCATTTTTATTCTCTACTCTACTTGTCAAAGGATAATAGACGATAAATATATGCATATAGTTTAGCATGATATGTACTTCTTTCTGTAACTGGGATACGATTCTAATATAAAGCAACACATCCGTATTCCCGGGGAACCATAAATATTTTGTGTAGGGTGTGGACATTTTTCTTTTCATTTCTCTAAAATCAGATTATTTTCATAAAATCCATACAAAGTTGGGCCTAAGCCTCTATTTTCGTATTCTGCATGTTAAGATATTTATAATGTAAAACGTAAGAGATAAATTCAATGTCTTCAGTTGAGAATAAGTATAAGGTGAATGTGTGAATTCTGCTTGTTGTTGCACTATTTTTATAATAAACAAGGTTCGATACGCAACACTGAATAGACTGCAGTCATAGCTTAGTTGTAAAGAAAACAAAAGAAGTTGGGACGTGGTCATGCTTGATTATGTTTCTTTTATATATCACCGTTTGCATTCGTTGAAATCGGCCTGCATTGATTTCAAGAGGTGGTCGGTGTACAAGGACATATGTTTGAGTTATTGGTTTAATGATAAATGTGACCCTTGAATGCGTTATGCTTTATGTATGCGTGAAACAAATACTCCAATGGCCTAATCTCAATTTGCCTACAAACAATATAACATTGAAATAATGGTCATCTGCATATTAACTTCCGCACCACACGTCTAACTTCGACACAATTCAGTAAAGTATCCAGTATCGCTATAATCGCTACATGCCAGTGTATATTGTTATTGCCCAATCTCAACAATTGTATTCACTGTATTGCCTACCGTGCCAAGAATAATGCAATTGTTCCAAAAGCTAAGCTCTTCTTTGGGACCCTAGAAGTGTGGGACATCACAGTCATAGATTAATATTTCATTACAATCAATGTATGTTGTATGACAAACATGCAAACTAGAGAATGTTAGAAAGATTTATCATTACAAAGAGCTCCTTTTCCTGTATTTTACATACTCAAAATCCCTTAATTCAGTGTATAGTCCAAGGTGCATATATTGCAGGCCACAGGATAACATATTAACACCTTACATTAGCAGTTGCCATTAGTTCATGAATGGAGTAAAGTACTCCCACTATTCACAGGCTAAAAGGATTCCTGTATGGATTACAAAAGATGTTGAGTCCAAGGTATGCAAGGGAATAATCTCATCCATTGTACTTGTAAAGGGTGTTTGGGGAGCAGATGCAAATATTTGAAAGCAGATATTATTTGCCCTGAATTATATGTAATAGAGGACACAGTCAAAATCCATTGATTCTGAACTGTTGATTTTATGATTCTCAATAAATATGACAAAACAAGACTATATTTATACCATTTTGAGGACACATTTGAGATGCATATGTTGCATATCGTGAGAGTTATCAAGGTGAGATAGCCCCTGGGACCCCAGAGGCTAAAATTAAAATTTATAAAAAAATGCAATCATTTTTTTACATTTCATTAGTAATATGAAAAAGACAGGACTTTTCTGAGAATATTTGAGGATTATATGTTACATATCTTAGAAGTTATTATTATTATTATATGGTGCGATATGATTACCCAAGAACGTAAGAAGCTAAAATTAAAATTTTTGAAATGTATAATCATTTTTCTACTTCTTATTAGTAATATTATGATAAAGCAAGAGTACATACACCTTTTTGAGTATATTTGAGATACATATGCTCCATATTTTGGAAGTTATTAAGGTGAGATATGGTCACCCCTGGGACGTCAGAAGCCAAAATGAGAATCAATATTTTTTAAAATGTACAATCATTTTTCTACTTCTTATTAGTAATATTATGACAAAGCAAGAGTACATACACCATTTTGAGTACATTTGAGATACATATGCTCCATATTTTGGAAGTTATTAAGGTGAGATATGGTCACCCCTGGGACGTCAGAAGCCAAAATGAGAATCAATATTTTTTAAAATGTACAATCATTTTTCTACTTCTTATCAGTAATATTATGACAAAGCAAGAGTACATACACCATTTTGAGCACATTTGAGATACATATGCTCCATATTTTGGAAGTTATTAAGGTGAGATATGGTCACCACTGGGACGTCAGAAGCCAAAATGAGAATTAATATTTTTTAAAATGTACGAACATTTTTCTACTTCTTATTAGTAATATTATGACAAAGCAAGAGTACATACACCATTTTGAGTACATTTGACGAGATACATATGCTCCATATTTTGGAAGTTAATCATGTGAGATATGGTCACCCCTATCCTGCATGATGCCACAATTTTAAATTTTAAGAATTTTTTTCTCCCCAGGTACAAAAGCTATTGATACAATTTTAAGTATGTGGTATGAACATATATAGGTCCTTTAGAATGAATTTTTTCAGTACATTTCGTACCTTAACTAATCTAAAATAACTTATTACATGTGGTAGAAGTATGAAAATAGGTGGCGCCCCTGTAGTGAATTTCAAAATATGCCCTTATTTTCACCCTAATTCACACAAGAAAATTCATACTGATTGTAAATAATGTTTTTGATAAGATCTTTATTAGTATTTCAATGTCATTTTACTACTAAAATGTGTTAAAAATTATTTTATACCCCTACCCCCTGTTTGAAAATGAATAGATGGCACCTCTTTAACTGCCCATAGCGAATTTACTTACCACACATTTTTACTCAAGTTAAGATAATTTACTCTAGAGAGTGTCTGGAACAAAATGATACCCTCAAACCTTTTTTACTAGCCGATCACCGAAATCGCAGCTGGGGACAGCATCAAAGATAAAAAACAAAGATAAAAGAACAACTTAGGTCTTGGACTACTTGTCATATTTGAGTTTTACCCACCGCCTCATTGAGAAGAAAGTATTTAGTTTATTAAAGTATATTGAAGAATCTCAAAAACCATTTGTTATCTCAAGTTTTGCATAGTGAATAACTCGTGTCCACTGTTAGTAATGATGGTATGTTTAGGGGTCAATTTTAGAAAAACTATGATATACAGGCATAGACTAGGAACCAACAAAATTGCTTGTAAGCGTTAGGTTTAACATTTATTTTTCACAAAAATTATATTGAACTGTGCTGCCACATTGCCAAATGTATTGGTATACATAGTCACAAAGTTGGAAAAAGTAAACCATTTGATGCCAAGATAGCATGTACATTATTTGCTATAAATTCCTCTATCACAATCCATTCATGTGTTTTTAATATTTGTGCCGCCAACCTTGACTGGTAAATCTACCAAGGGATTAAGATTGGTGCGATGGCTTTGATTGTTCAATTTTCTACAAAGCAAAGGTGTAGTGTTTAAATCGGACATCAAATACTTCCAATACAACTAACAGGCGACTACAACTTATGATTATCATATCTGTGGTGTTTATTCTGGACAATACAGTTGTCATCAAGCACAATTATAATTTATATGCGACTTATATAGTAGCGGAGACAACACAAGTCCCAAGTCTATATATTTACTCTCATTTCTTCACTTCTAAGACTTAAGTCACCACATTTTGCATGCACATTCCTTGGAGAAATCCTAACATAGAATTTTATTGGTTTTGATTATAGTTCATTTGTTAAATATAGGGAAACATTTGATTTTTATTGGTCTATAATCAAAATTTTCCATTTTGAGCGACAAAAACATTTTGACGTAATTAATAAAAATCCAAACTATAAATGACAGATACAATATGGTGTCTCTAATCTTATTGACAATAACTATCGTAATAGATATTTTTTGATCATGCATTGGAAGTATACCAGGGATATAGTGTATAGCGAGAAATGCATTCATTGATTGTGGCAAGAAGTGAATTGGCAAAAGAATGTTGGAGTCACACTATTATTTTGACGCGTTTTTAGTGCTTGTTCTTCCATTTAAGGTCGTTTGGTACCACTGTGATGTCATAATATATAAACTGACATCATAATATGGGTAGCAAATTGAAGCACATGTTACAAGCTTTAGGATGATACCAAAAAGGTCATCATTCATTTGATAAAAATGGTAACTGGAATAAGCTCAAAAGGTATGCCACTCCCCTACCCCATCCACTTTTTCAGGCCATTGAAACACGCCAAAACCTCAAATAATTCAGGCATCTTCAAGGGTAGTTTTGGCCCTGTTTTTTTTAATTATCATGTTTCTGCATACCATTTTTCTAGGAAATGTCTCAATTACCCAAAACAGTTATACTTGTGCTGAATAAGAAAACATTTGGTCATTTTGGAGTCATTACACCAAAAGTAGAGACTTTTATTAATTACGTCAAAATGTTGTATTTGTTGCACAAAATGGCAAATTTTGGTTATAGACAAATCAAAATCAAATGTTTCCCTATTTTACACTAATAAATTATAATTAAAACCAATAAAAGTCTATGTTAGGATTTTTCCTGGGAATATGTATGCAAAATGTGGTGACTTAACTCTTAAAAGTAAAGAAATGAGAGTAAATATACAGACTTGGGACTTGTGTTGTCTCGGCTACTATGTTGTATACTCTCTTACTTTAAAGATTCCGATAAATCGGGCTACGTATACCGCCGTATTTACATAAGGGGATTAGAAAGGTTTATTTTTTATTTAGGTATGCAAGCTATGTAAAATTAGGCCTTCTAGCATGCATGTACTCGTGTGTACAATCAGCATGGCCTTCAATATTATATAAACACGGTGTTACTATACCAGGCTATTCAATATGTACTACATAATGTACGCTATTTATGTGTGTACTACATATACGATTCCCTGGGAAACAAAAGACAAATTCTTTTTGTATGTCCAAAATGAGCAATTTGATTGATACATACACAAAATACCTCCATAAATAACATCTACAAAGTATATCTAATAGTAATTTTCAATTTCAATGGTGAAACTTCCCTGGTTACGATTATACGGGAAATCAACACGAGACGAAGAATGTTCGCCTTCCTGGCTTACCTTTGAATCGTGTACCTGGTAATCTCTTTATATAGTTTAGCGAGAACGCTGCGCCTGCGCAGTATTAAACTTTGGCGCACACTTTAACTCTTCAATGACTCCTTAATTAGGAGGAATGCCAATGCCGTTACATTGGGACTACAACACTCTACTTTACCTTGCATTTGGCTTTCATGAGCAACCCATTTGGCTTATTAGTGATGATAATATATTTGTTTTTATTTGTCTGTTCCTTATTAATGGTTTATCGGTTGAAAGTTAGATGTTGATAAGGTACTTTCAAAAATATACTAAACAATCCAATTAGACAAACAAAGTATCTTATGCATTTCTAGGTGTTAGGTATAGTAGTGTGTACAAGCTAATATGCATGTATGTTGCGGTTTTATCACATGAAGCAACATATTGCCATGCCAAAATCTATCTGTTATATGTATTAATCACTGGATATGGAAAACAAACTTATAATGATGATGTTGATAACTAAGTCATTGTACGTCATATATGCAAGACATTGGGGACACATGTCCTTTATCTTCGAATTCGTGGCTTACATTGCTTACACAATATGTCCGTATATTCATTTCACTGTATTATGATATAATGCCATCTTTGCCGTGTCAGCTTACACAATATGTCCATATATTCATTTCACTGTATTATGATATGATGCAGACCCTCTTTGCCGTGTCAGCTCACACAATATGTCCATATATTCATTTCACCGTATTATGATATGATGCAGGCCCTCCTTGCCTTGTCAGCTTACACTAAATGTCCATATATTCATTTCACTGTATTATGATATGATGCAGACCCTCTTTGCCGTGTCAGCTTTTTGTTTACGTTCCTCCAACTCAGCCAGCAACTGCAGTGCTTGTAATCCTTTCACAGCCTCGTGAAGTTCATGAAGTGGCTTGGATCTGAAACATAGTTTGGATCAGAAGACGATAGAATCATCGATATAATACGCCACTTTTGCTGAGTAAACGGAACTTCAAAAACGGTCCAGATCTGCACTTTTAACCCGATTCCGTTTACGTAGCAAAAGCTAGGTATAATATAAACTAATATTGATTGTCTAACTAGGTTAGCTCGAATATTTTATGTTTTAAATATTATTGTACCTTCGTTTCTATGAGAACTAACATTTTGTAATGCATTTTTTTAAACAGGTTCACTCATACATGGATGATTTCATTTCTTGCTTTTTGTCAACCGATTTTTCTAATCATTTTGGCAAAAGACATGCGAGGATAAATGCTATGGTGTGAATCATCGCTTATTAAAAGATATGTGCGGCCTCTCAAAATTAGTTTTAAATAAATTCACGATTTTTCGAACAAAAAGAAGTTCTTCAAAAAGCACTAAGATTGAATAAGAAAGTTTATGGGGTATAAGACTACAATATAAGCCAACTTTAAATGATGGCTTTATAATAATATTTCAATCACAAATATTCAGTATATATGTACAGAAATGATCATATGTTATATTTTTAAATTATAAATATATATGATTTAATATCCAATCAATAAAAAACTACAATGGTATATTTTCCATTTTTATAGCATTTGAAATCTGCAAATAAAATACCAATTGAAAGGATACTTACAAATCACCATTGGCTTTCAACATGTCCTCTGTTAAAAGAATGATAAATATGCATAAACATTTGACTAACAATATTTCTATTTTTATATCAAACTGTAGATGTCGAACGGTGAAATGTTTTTGCATCTGCTATTTGCTTTTATGTATACACGTACTAGGCCTATATTGACAAACAAGGGAAAATGGTTATACCTAAGTACATATATTTTCAAAGTATGGAATGCAAAACAATTACTGATATGTGCTTAGGAATTGGAATTGTAACGCTTCCACAGTCTTATAACGTATTTTGCGTTTTTTAGAAATCGTACCTCCTGATGCTACGAATATCACAGCTTTCTTGTTAAGAACCCACTCATTATCATCGACGTCTACAACAACACGGTCTCCAGCAACTCTCTTAACAACTGCAGCGTGTCCCAAGGCCTACACGCAAAATACTTCAATTTATATATAAGGCATTTACATGACAAAATGTTCTAACCTTGTAAGTTCCCCGGGTAAGTTCATAATTTCGTAATGGTCAGGCAGCTAGGTCTTAAGATAGAAGATTCTGCAGATCAAATTGTTGACCTTGAGAAATCTATTTAAAATAAACACTCAATGAACTGGAAGAGATTCAGTTCACTCGTTTCTAAAAACTAAATACTTGTAATAGTGTTTTCAGTGTTAATTAATGGAAATGGCGGGATTTTGACTACGTCTCCAGTTGCGTACATTTTACCAGACTGTAATACTCAACAGAAACATTAAGTATTTGGGTTGCTCAACTTCTTACTTCAATCATTTTCGGAGCCCAACCACCATGTCCTTTCTGAAGCTCTTTCACCTTTTCATAGTCATCAATAATGACGATTAACGACCCAGACTCAATTTCCTCTTTCGATGTGTCCACTTTTGTTAGAAGGTCGGGATTTAGGCACCATCTATAATGAAGTTGTTGATTCCCAATTAATTCCACATTATACTGTAGATAATGAAGGTTATCATCTCATAAATATTGAAAGTTAAACACTTGAAATGCTCAAGGATGTCGGAGGTCTTTTTATAGATTAATTGGCATTGAAATGTCCCAACGTCTCGCCAATGACAAAAATATTTAAGCGCAAATGCCAAAGGTTGAATTTGTATCATACTTTTGGTGTCAAGAGTATTGGCATTTTTATTGTTTAATAATATATTTTAATGATTTTAATTTGAATGAAATGTCAAAGGAATGATTTATGGTCTTTTAGTGTTTGGATTTGATTGGTAACTGAAAGGTGGTGGTGTGTTAGAAATGGTTTCTTTGTTCGTTAGGTCATACTTTGGTATGTTCGATGTTCAATTTCCTTATAACCAATGTTTCTTTAGTCGATGACCCAGCTTTCAAAGTACAGATTAGATTTAGATAATTATTCTTTTTTAAAAATGGCTATTCATGAATGTTGTCACCATCCTGTGGGTACAAATGGCACTTGGTGAAGAACTTTCACTTTGACTAAATTACTTTGATAATGTTTCTCTACTCAACGTGGCTATAATATCATATCCAAGATTATAGAATGTCAATATTATTCTTAGATACTTGATTTTGGGTTTGTTTGTGCCATAAAGTATTATTTTATCAGAATGACCACAAACCACAAAGAACGCGGCGTACTTATCACTGTTGATAAATTCTACGACAACATCATTATCCTCATCGATTGTGTGTACAATTCCCCGCACGCCGATTGCCTACAAAATATATCATTAGAATTTTTAAATGGTACCAAATTATTTTGAACTGTTTCAATGTATCGACAATTTTATAACAACGTGTCACTTAAAAATAGACCACAATTCAATACACCATTGTAATCCATACCTTTAACATTTTCTCATTGCATCCCCCATGCCCCTTTTGCTTTTGTTGTAATGTTCGAGCATTGCAGTTGATTACCACGATATCATATCTGTTGAACTTCCCGGATGTAGCTCCCTTCTCTGGACTTTTTGACAACAAAGCTGGGTTCACTGACCACCTGCAAAATGTAAGAGTTGTACTCCCGCTGTTAATGTTTCTATGCTCACTTTATTTACTTTTCTAAATAAAACTTTTGCTTTGTTAGCATATATAACGTTAATTGCTATAGCCATTATTAAGTTGTTTCGTCTATACATTCTTATCAAGATTTTTGAGAAGAGCGTGAAATCTAGAGATTGGACATTATGAATGGACATACTTTATTCCATTTTCAAACTTGATTTTCAGGACATGGGCCAGCTTTTCTAGAACAATTCCCCTCTTCCCAAGACACTGGAATAAAAGACTAAATACAACACGTCTACCACTACGATTACATTATTAAGTTATTCCTCGGAAATCGCAAAATTTCATGAACGACAGTCAATAATCCTACACCAGTTCGCTTGTAGGCAGCCATAAACATGTTTACCTTAAAATTGGTATTTAAAATTAAAATGGAAATACTTACGTTTGACATAGTACTGACCCAACCGCCATATCCATCTTGCAATTCACTTTTCAAGGTCTCTGGTCATATAAAAAACATCCCCGGATGAAAACTACGAATACAACAACATAATCGGGCTACAGTATATGTATGGTGTGTATGCAATTCATATATTTTGAAACAAGTATTGTTTACAGAAATCACAATATCGATACAAAGTTTAACCGTTAATAAAAGCATGTTGCTTACATCCTCGGAATCATCGTCAGAAAGCATTGCCATCAACATGGCAAGTTTAAGTGATGTATCATCATCGTCGTCGTCATCATCATTTTCACTTTCAGCGGCTGGCTATAAAGACGAAATACTGGGGAACGTTATGTATATCGGGGTTTCTCATTGTAGCACACATGCTACTATGATTTAGCTGTGTCACTTACCTGCATTCGTTCCATTTCCAAGGCTCAAATTCATATGTTCATTGCATTCTTATTCAATCACATACTTTTCGTATTTCCTTCATGGCAATCGTCACTTCCATTACATTATGGAATCCAACTGTTCTAGCACCATCCACATTATGGTGCTTCGGTCGTTCAGGGTACAGAAAACGTTCGAAAATAGTAGTCCTGCTCTTCGGTCTATATTTCTTAATTAATAAAGAATTGATAGTTTATTAAAAAGGTATTTTGGGTGAATAATGCAATCAATTTGTATTTCACCTGTTTTGAAGGTGCCACAATACAAATTTCTTCCATTTTCCTCAATTTTGAAATCCGCAGTCCCTTGATATCAATTTTAGCCTCTAACTCAACAGGAAATTTTTCGATCAGATGATGTCATATTGTTAGGAAATGATTTATCTTTAAAATGATATATAACACATGGCATATGATAATATTATACAAATATTGAATTCTGTGAAGTTGAATATCTGTATATATTTCTGAAGGTGTATATTTTCTGGAAGCTCATTGGATTATTAATGGTCATATGATATGAAACAGATGAACCAATTCCTGAAATGTCTACATAAATCCTTGCTTGAAAATTGCAAAAGTTCTGATGACAATAACATCACGTGACCAGTCAATAGTGAACTTAGTCTCCCTGTTTGCATTGGATCATAGAACTTTAATTGGTGAATATCTTTAAATAGAAATAAATAAAATAGATAAGAGATAAATAGAAAGACTTCATTTTTGTTTTTATTTACAGAGCTCTCATGGGTATTTAATAATTAAATGTATATTATCTCCCTGAGGGTATATCATCCTGTCTAATAATAAAAATCCATGTGGTGTATCCGTTTATCAGGCGCGTATGCATATGATCTTTTAAGTGTGTATGATAAACGAATATAAAAGACTAAATCTATATTCTTTAATGAGAATTTATACCACGTAATACTTTATTTTGCTTTTAAATATTTAGTTTAATCACAATCAATTAACATGTACATGAACAATTGGATAAATCAAATAAATTAAATTGGCCAATAACATATCAGCTGAATGTCTTAAGGTTATATATAAGTTTTTTTGATGATATTAAGCTAGTTAGACATTATTCTAGAGCAAAACCAAAAGCAAAAAAACCACAATCATTATAATATTATGTAACATAACTAACGCTTTGGTCACATTTGTTCTACGGCAACCGTACTGTATGGCGGTCGTAGCTTATCAAAATCGACGATGCAATATATAATGAAAGCATAAGCAGTATGATATAGCTTTTCTATATCGATTTTGTGAATCTAAGTCTGTCGTACGGCGCCGAAGAGCAAATGTCACCGAGGCTTGAAGTAGCACATTTTTACATTCGATATATTTTCTTTTTGTACTTTCTATTATTTCTGTGTCACATATACTCGTTGTCAAATTTTGTTGTAGAAACAAATTCTGCTATGGGGATTGATATTCATCATACACTTCCCGCCCCTGGCCAAAACCTTTTTCAGAAGTTTGCAGTTTCACCACTCTGGGGACATTTCAAGTGATTTTGGCCATTTTTGGGCCAAATTTGTCAAAAATGACCCCCTGGAATTAAAAAAAATGTGAAACCTCCCCTTGGCAAATCCTGGCTACGGGCTGTTCTTCTCCCTGTAGAGCAGACAGGAATTGGAAATTTCTGCATCTAAATTCTTGAATAATCAATCAGATATATCAACTGTATATTTTTCAGATATAAAATTAGAAATGTCAGGGAAATATAAGTATGTTTTAATAAAGAATTGACTCCAACTTTACACTATCTTGTGCTTACTGTCACATATGTCACAGAAGATCTTGCTCTAGCTCATTTGGTGGAAATTACTTGTATCAACCTGTCATTATTTCTGCCATTTGGACCTTATTATGAAATTAAGATAGATATATGTCCTTCCTCTTTGTAGCTTATAATATAAAATATTTCCGCATATTCACTTCTGATGTGTTCATTAAGATATGATGCAAACCTTCTTTGCTGCGTTTGCTTTTTGCTTTTGTTCTTCCAAATCTGCCATCATCTGTAAAGCTTGTACTCCTTTCACAAGTGAACTGGACCTAAAATATCCAATAACGTAATTTATTATTACTTTATTACAAAATATTATCATTAAATGCTCTATAGATCCGAAAGGATATCAAGCTAATTGGCATATTCTATTAAATGTATGTAATATTACTGTTGAATAAAAAAAATTGTACATACGAATTCATTCGTAATCACAGTCAATATGCAGTTATGATTTGGGGCACGTTGAAATCATGATGTATACCTTCTTCGCTCCAATTTCAATAACGTAGTCTAGAGTTTCCGACAAAAAGTTGGTGTTGTCCAAAATGCTGCAATCTGATTGGTAAAAAATTCGAAAAATGCCTTTTTTAATGTTTTGATGATGTAACTATCAAAAGGTAAAATTCTTGTTCAAATTCCTGAATCATCACAACCCTGATATATTATTACAATATTGGAACAGCTGTAAGATCATATTCACCTGTTTTACAGGGTGTCCAAAAAACAGGACCGTAAAAAAGTTGAATAACTCGGTCAATTTTGCATATTTTGCCTTGAAATTTTAGAATTATTCAGTTCATTCAATGTGAATTTAGTTGTGAAAGTTTGATAATAATCTACTAATTGAGTCAAAAACTACAGCTCCTTACAAAACATGCCCCAAATGTGCACCTCTCCTCTCTATGCACAATTCAATCCAGCGAACAAAGTTGTTGATGATCCTCCTACACACATGTCTATCTAAATGGACAAGTTTGTTCCAAGAACAATTGCTACCGGGGCTTACATCAAAAACTACAGCTCCTTACAAAACATGCCCCAAATGTGCACCTCTCCTCTCTATGCACAATTCAATCCAGCGAACAAAGTTGTTGATGATCCTCCTACACACATGTCTATCTAAATGGACAAGTTTGTTCCAAGAACAATTGCTACCGGGGCTTATATCCTCCTGATGAAGTGTTACAGCATCCATTGCATTCTGAACAATGCACTGCCTGGGTGACAATGAGGAAACATGGAATCATCAGTCCTTTTTGGTTTGAAGGTGACTGGGGATGGACGTGCTATCACCATGAACAAGGACCAGTAAGTTCTCACTAAGTTTTGGAGGTCACTAAGCACCAGAAGGGACATCTAAGGAGATAAGCAGTGGTTTCAACAAGCCAATACCACCCCAACACTTCAAATGATATGCTAAAATGGTTTAGGCAATGCTTTGGTGGTCAGCTCATCAGTTGCAGGAAGCAAACCATATGGGCAGCTCATTCGCCAGATCTAAATCTCCCAAATTTTTATCTTTGAAGATTTCTCAAAGACAATGTGTATATTGACAGGCCCCTAACAATCTTTAGAGGGCAATATCTACCCCAATATTTACCATTCACATTAATGTGTATAGGTCAGAGCCATTAACAACTTTGTTCGCAGGATTCGTTTGTGCATAGAGAGGAGAAGTGCCCAATTTGAGTATGTTTTGTAAAGTACTGTAGTTTTTGACACAATGAATAGATCATCATCAAACTTTTAGAACAAAATTCACATTGAATGAGCTAAATAATTTTAAAATTTCAAAGCAAAATATGCAAACTTGACCGAGTTATTCAACTTTCTTACGGTCCTGTTTTTTGGACACCCTGTATTAAATTCAAAATTCAAAATCGGAAAGTTTTCACCTATTGAACATGGAGATAAGAAGGTATACATCATGATTAGGGCTTGGCCCAAATCAAAACTGCATACTGACTGTGTGCTACTCAAATGTGATGAGCAGAATTC